GCGAGGCCTGGAAACGCCCCGTTGCCTTTGTTCCGCTCAGGTGCACAGCGGGCCACGGCCAACTGCCCTGGGAACACTGTGGCTCAGACGCTCACACAGGCTGCAGGGGATCCGCACACCAGGAGCCAGCACTGTGGCCCCCAGCTCCCACTTGGGGAGACTCTGGCCTGAGACAACGGGTTCTTGCACTTTGAGCCCCACAGAAGCCCAGCTGCCCTGGCTGCGCACCAGGGCGGGCTAGGGTCAGAGGGTTCCCTCGTCTTCCGCTCCCCTCCTGGAACGTGTGGCAGCTGAGCTGAGTCCTATAGGGCCAGAGGGCAGTCAGCAAAGAAGAGGTGCCCCAGGCAGTGGGCCCTCACCAGGGCCAAGAGAAGAGAGGACAGCTTGGGAGGCAGCTGCTTTTTAGTGCTGAGGGGCCCTCGGGCCAGTGCTGGTGCCCGATCTTGCAGCCATGGAGAGGAATTGACCTTGAGCTGCACTGTGAAGACAGAGCGGGTGGGGAGGCTGACTAGTCAGAGGCGTGGTGACACTGCCTGCCTGAGGAAGACTGGGGGGGGGGGCGGGGAGGGGCGTGGCACTGTCTGGTCTGGCAGCTCATTGCACCCCCCTCCAGATGAGGAGCCCCCTGCATCAACATCTGGAGACAAACACCCTTTTTCTCTCTCTCTCTCTCTGTCTCTCTCTCTCTCTCTTTTTATTTTATTTTATTTTTTTTTTAATATGTATTCCCTATAGCATTCACAGTTCACTCCAGGGAAAGTTCAGTTCTTTTTTTTTTTTTTCCTTTTATTTTGTAGAGAGCCACTGAGAAGGCATATGGACATTCTTTTCATTCTTATCAGCTGAGCTAGAGGGAGGGCACTGACAGAATCCTGTTTTTGTTTTTTTGTTTTGTTTTTTGTTTTAATATATTTTATTGATTTTTTACAGAGAGGAAGAGAGAGGGATAGAGAATTAGAAACATCTATGAGAGACATCAATCAGCTGCCTCTTGCATTCCCCCACCGGGGATGTGCCCGCAACCAAGGTACATGCCCTTGACCGGAATCAAACCTGGGACCTTTCAGTCCACAGGCCAACGCTCTATCCACTCAGCCAAACTGGTTTCGGCAGAATTCTGTTATCAGTACTGATTTCTTAATCCATGTGCTTGGAATGAGGAATAAATAGGAACTTGACTCACCCAGGTCTTTTTTTTTTTTTAATATATTTTATTGATTTTTCACAGAGAGGAAGGGAGAGAGATAGAGAGCTAGAAACATCGATGAGAGAGAAACATCGACCAGCTGCCTCTTGCACAGCCCCCACCGGGGATGTGTCCGCAACCAACGTACATGCCCTTGACTGGAATCGAACCTGGGACCTTTCAGTCCGCAGACCAACGCTCTATCGCTGAGCCAAACCGGTTTCGGCTCACCCAGGTCTTGATATGCTAAATCTTGTACCAAAAAATAAGGAGTTTACCCAGATTTTGATGAATAGGATCTGGGCACACCCAAAACTCCTTTTGACCTTAAACTCCCCTTTGGAAGCCAATAAATATGCTGTGTTGTCTGTGGTGAGTGTGACTGTCTCTCCACCAGAGAGATGGCACCCACCTAGCTCCCAGCTTTCTGAATCTATTTCTGCCTCTTGTCTCTTTCTCTAATTTCTTAATCCCCAGCTTCTCCCCTTAGGAACCTGTCGTTTTTCTGTGCGGGACATGGAAAAAGGAGAAACACCACATTTTTAAATATATTTTATTGATTTTTTGCAGAGAGAGGGATAGAGAATTAGAAACATCAATGAGATAGACTCATCGATCAGCTGCCTCCTACACACACACACACACACACACACACACACACACACACACACACTGGGGATGTGCCCACAACTAAAGTACATGACCCTGACCAGAATCAAACCTGGGACCCTTGAGTCTGCAGGCCAACACTCTATCCACTGAGCCAAACCGGTTTTGGCTTCTTTTTCTTTTTTTTCATAGTTCATGCCACTTTAATTGACCTGAATAAAACGAAGCCTAGCCAACTTGCAAACACTGATTTAGTGCTAGCATCCCTCAACAATGGCAGTGGAAATTCTACAAGTGGAATTTGTAACCTTTCACACGGAAGGCACGTACTCCACCGCTAAGTTAAATTCTATGCCAACAATGAGTCTCACACGCAAGCCACAATATGTTGCCCATAGTGTTGTGCCCTGTCATTCAGTCTCACTCATACAACTTTTCATTTCTTGTTTTTTGTTGTTGTTGTTTTTTACACTGTACTAGGATAGAATGAACCACCTCAGTAGCTTCTGAGGCTAATACATTTCTAGCACCACAATTATTTTAGCAAACCTGCTTCCCTTCACTTCTGCAACATCATGCAGAGTTAGTGATCGAGTTTGCACTCATTTCTTGTTTTTTAAACGAGTAATATATGGAGACACCCTTTGCAGGCAGCAATTCCTGAAGCAGTGAGAGCCTCGGCCACAGGAGTCCCTGAACTCACACAAGCCCGTTGTCAGCAGTCACTCTGGCCCAGCCTCTGACCTCTGACCCCACAGACGCAGCGGCAGTCGCAGGTGGCTACTCCCTCAAGGTCCAGCCGCCAGCCTTGGAGCCTGCCTCCCGTCCCAGCAGAGCGATGGAGGGCCCCACCCTTGGCTCCCTCAGTCCTACTCAGGCTGCTCCGCCTTGCTCTTTTCACCCTGGCGCCCTCGCCCTCCCGGAAGCTGTGGCCACTTCCCCAAAGCAACGTGGGCTGGCTCACGTCCTTCTCCAGCCACGGCTTTCTCTTTCCACCAGCTCCTTGGACGAGCGTGATCTTGAGTCGCCTGCACCCGGACGCGGCCCCACTTCCCCCTGCTTCTCCAGGCACTGTCTGGCCTCCTCCCTCGCCTCCCCACTGAAGCAGAGCCTCAACTACAGGGTCAGCTTCCCGGCCATCTAGGGGTCACCTACTTCCCTATTGCCTCTTTACCTCCAAGTCAGCTTCAGTCCCAGGCTGGGCCAGAGGAGGCTCCAGTTGGGATCTTCTGATGAGTAGAGCGACCCTAACAGCTCGAGGGTCTCCAAGCCCCCCTCAATCCCTCCCATCTCCCCCACCTGCTACTTGGGGCTCCTCCAGCCAGTGTGGGTGGAGATGCTGCCCCTCCCTCACCTAGCAGGCTCAATCTGGCTCCAGCCGGAACTGCTTTACTTCTTAAAGCCACCGGATGGCTGAGGGTTTAGCTTAATGGGATGAGCCATCTGGGGACCACAGTAAGCCCGGGACTTGCGGAGGGTCGGGGGGGGGGGGGGGGGGGGGAGGGGCACACTTCACATACCCGACCACAGTAAGCCCGGGACTTGCGGAGGGTCGGGGGGGGGGGGGGGGGGGAGGGGCACACTTCACATACCCGACCAGGACAGTGACCCCTTCCTTCCTCACCCCATGACTGCTCTTGGCCCCAAAAATTCCAAACAGGCTGCTCAGCTGCTACAGGAGAGGCAGCCGAACAACCTCGCTCTTGCCTGGGAGGCTCGAGGCAGGGTCCCAGTGGGAGAGGCGTGTCAAGAGTGGGGAGCTGGGAACCCCCAACTGAGGCCTCTGGGGGGGGGGGGGGTCTGTGCACTCACTAGCACCAGGGGGCAGCCTTCCCCGATTCCTACCTGAGTCTCCCGCAGTGATGGGGGCAGGAGGGGTCCCTACCACCCCCCACCTTGGTGACAAAATGTAGCTTTGCACCTCAGCCAGATGGGCTCCCCGTGCCCCCTTAAAAGACTCCTAGAGACCTGTCACCCCAAACACTGGAACCTGGAACTCTGGCTTCCAGGGCTGCATTCCTTGGGAAGGGCTGATGCCAGAAGGAGGGGGGTGGGGCCTGTGACAAAGCCCCCACAGCACACCTGGAGGTAGACCTCTCCATCCCAAGCACCCGGCATCCCCGCTGGTACCCAACACCGCCCCAGCCCCCGGATGGGAGTCAGGGAGAAGGAGAAAGGAGGGGAAGAAGGAGAAAGGAAGATAAGGATGGCTGGAGGGCAGCCAGGGAAGCGGCTCTCCCAGCACCCGGAAGGGCAGGTTGGGAGTGGCCATCTGGGCAGGGGTAGGCCCAGGTGAACCCGGGAACGGGGGCGGGGGGCCCTGGAGGAGGTGCTGCCGGTGCCTCAGGTAGCAGCCATCCTGCCTCCCGCTGGAGCCGCGTCTCCTCCTCGGGAGGAGGGCGGGAGGAGGTGGGCGGAGTGACGGGGAGGGCGGGAGGGAGGGACGGAGGAGGGGGAGGGGGAGCAGCCCAGCCGTGGGGGGTGGGGCGACAGTGACATCACCCCGGAGTCGGTTCTTAAGCAGCAGCCGGTCAGGGCGAGGAGAGGGACAGTCGGAGCGCGGTGGCGAGTCACTGAACCCACCGCGGCCCGGAGAGCGGCTGGAGCCGCCGCCGCCGGGAAGGAGGGGCGAGTGCGCCCGCGCCGCCGCCGCCGCCGCCGCCGCCGCCGCCGCCGCCGCCGCCGGAGCCAGAGCCGCCGGAGCAGGAGCCGCGGGCGAGCCAGACAGCCGTGCGGGCCCGGGCTGGGGCGGGGGGCGCGGGCCGCAAGCCCATGCTCCGGCCGCAGCTTGCGGACAGTGGGCACCCGATGCCGCCCGTGCCCCGCTAGGCTGAGCCTCGGGCCGGGCGAGCCGCAGCCGCCGCCGCCCGGATCGCGCGCGGGCACCAGCCTCCGGAGTCGCCACCGCCGCCCGAACCGCGGGCAGGAGCCTCGGGAGCCGCCGCCGCCGCCCGGCCGGCCCCGCCGCCGCCCGCGCGCCCCCGGGCCCCCGACACACATGAGATTCTTCAGGCTCACTTTCAAGTGCTTCGTGGACTGCTTCTGACCGCGTCGCCCGTCCCCCCGCACCCCACCCGCCGCCCGCCCGCCCGCCGCCCCGACTCCGGCCCGGCCGCCCCCGGCCGGCCCGCGCCTTCGGGGCCCCCAAGCCGCCGGTGCCCCCCGCCACCCGTCCCCCGGCCCGGCCGCGCCACCCGCCGGGACCATGGCGAAGAAGAACGCCGAGAACGGCATCTACAGCGTGTCCGGAGACGACAAGAAGGGTCCGCTGATCGCGCCCGTGCCCGACGGGGCCCCGGCCAAGGGCGATGGCCCCGCCGGCCTGGGGGCGCCTGGCGGCCGCCTCGCCGTACCTCCGCGTGAGACCTGGACCCGCCAGATGGACTTCATCATGTCGTGCGTGGGCTTCGCCGTGGGCCTGGGCAACGTGTGGCGCTTCCCCTACCTGTGCTACAAGAACGGCGGAGGTGAGCGCCCCCGCTCCTTCGCTCTACCAACCCTCCCCCGCCCGCCACCCGCCCCTTCGGGGCGCACGGGCAAAGTCCAGAGGGTGGGGGGGGGCCCTGAGGCAGTCGGGGGCCAGGGGCCGCCCCTCGCCGGCTGATGCCATTCGGTGGCCCAGCCTGGCAGCGTCCACCCCCTGGCGGGTCATGTGCCTGGCAGCGTGTGGGGGGAGGGGGCTGGCGCGCCTCTGGCCTGAGCTGTGGGGCTGCCCTCGTACTCCTTGCGTTCAGGGATTGGCCACCGAGGTGGGAAGGCGAGGCCTGCCCCAGGGGGGGCTCCCAGAGGTGAGGAGCCCTGGCTGCCTCCACTGGCCAGGCACACAAGTGGCACATTGTGTGGGCCCCCCACGTGTGCACACGCGAACACACACATACACAATGAGCCACTCTGTCCCTCCCCCTTCCATCTTTTTCCCTCCCCTCCCTTCCCTTCCCTTCCCTTCTCTTCTCTGCCCCTCTCTTCCCAACCCTCCCCTCGCCACCCTCCCCTCTAGACTGGGCCTGGAACACTGGGTGCCTGAGCCAGGCATGGGAAGCCTGCGGCCTGGGCTGCCTGGCGCCGCCGCTGGACACACTGCATGCACACCCCATGCCTGCTCGCCCGCCCCAGCCCAGCTTAGCAACAGCGGTGGGCACGCATGTCCTGCGACTGCTAAGCAGCATCGGGCTTGGTGGGAAGCCACAGTGACCCGGTGATGGGTGGGAAACTGAGGCCTAGAAGAAGGAAGGCCTTTGCCCAAGGTCACACACAGGAAGGATGCTGGAACGAAGAGTCGGGCAAGCTGCAGTGAGGCCCGGCTTCGGAAGAGTGGAGAGAGCTGGGCCAGGGCCAAGGCCAAGGGTAGGGGGCCTGTGCAGGAGGGAGTGCCCAGGGGCTCCTGGGGCCCAGATCCCCTCACCCCCACCCCTGGCCTGGAGTCTCCGACCCTGCCCTGCATGCTGCCTCCAGAGCCAGGTGGCCTCCCCCACGATGTCTCCCTCTGTCCTTGCTCACTGACATTTTCAGACACCCCTACACACACACACACACACACACACACACACACACCCTGGCAGAGGACTGCCACCCGCCCATTGTCTTCCCTGGACCTGCCCACTTGTAAGTCAGGCAGGCTCCCAGGCTTGAGTGCCAGCCATGGCGCACACACACACAGGCACGAACATGCCCTCGCCGCCTTTCCTTCCTGTACCGCCTGGCAAACAGGGAACTGTGACACGAGGGATGGCTTGTGTGTGCAAGCACATGTGTCCTCCGTAACCATTAGGTTGCCCTTGGTGAGCACAAAGGCAGAAGCCTTGTAGGCTTAGGGCACCCTCTCAGTCCAGGAAGCTGAGCCTATAAACCCACCCACCCCCAGGACTGTTCACCTGGGGCCTCTGAGTCAGTGGCCACCCGCTGCACTGATTCACCAGTGGGAAGTTATGACGGGGCTGTGGTGGAGCCTGGAGCTGGGGCTTCCCCCTGGCTCCCAGGGCAGCTGGAAGCTGGATTGGCCGAAAGCCTGCACAGCCTGGTCATGGAGTTCGGTTTTAGACCTTGGCCTGTGTGTCCTCCCTCAGGTGTGTTCCTTATTCCCTACATCCTGATCGCCCTGATTGGAGGAATCCCCATTTTCTTCTTGGAGATCTCACTGGGCCAGTTCATGAAGGCCGGCAGCATCAATGTCTGGAACATCTGCCCCCTGTTCAAAGGTGAGCGGCCCTGGGCCAGCCCCTCTGCCCTCTCCCTCGGCGACTCTTTCCCTATCCCACCGCTGGAACAAAGCTGGCACCCACTTGAGAAATGGCATCCTGTCTGAGCACCAGACCTGGGGCCCATTGATGACCTCCCTAAGTTGAGGGAAAGCTGGATGCCAGCCATGCAGACCACTCTGTGACCTTGGGCAGGCTAAGGGGTTGGATGGGAGCCACTGAAAGGTCAGGGTCTGAATGGAGGAGCTAATCATGGCAAGGGTCACCTCATAGCCCCTTCTGTGCGTGGGTGGCACTGTCCCCATCATCTCTCTAGGCCCTAGCAGGTAGGTTTCACTCTTGCTGTCTTTGTGGAGGCTGGGACACAGACAGGTGAAGTGACTAGCTGTGACTGCCTGCTGAGAGGAGAGGGTGTGCAAGCTAGTCACCCTCAAAATCCAGGTCTAGCAAAGCCATCCCCCTTCCCCCCCGCCTGCAAGTTGCTCTGTACTGTAGGGCATGGCAGGCAGGGGGGTTGGCGGAGACAGTGAGGCCCAAGAGAAGAGGCAGGTGTGTGAGGCTAGGAAATCAACAGGACTTAATGCGCAGATGGGGCAGGAGCGGAGGTCTGGGGAGAATGCAGGTGAGGCAAGGAGCAGGGGCTTTGGGGCCAGGGACAGACTGGGGAGCTAGCCCAGCATTGGGACTCTTACGCAAGGGAGTGTCCACGGGGCTCTGTCTGGAGCATGACAGAGAAGGGCGTAATGGGATGGAAGGTGGGGAGGGGGTGGAGGATGGACGCAGGGAGCAGGATGTCAGGATGTTAGTTGGTGGTGGGAAGCCTGCACAGAAGCCGCCTTCCTCCTAGGCCTGGGCTACGCCTCAATGGTGATCGTCTTCTATTGCAACACCTACTACATCATGGTGCTGGCCTGGGGCTTCTACTACCTGGTGAAGTCCTTCACCACCACGCTGCCCTGGGCCACGTGTGGCCATACCTGGAACACTCCCGACTGTGTGGAGATCTTCCACCATGAAGACTGTGCCAATGCCAGCCTGGCCAACCTCACATGTGACCAGCTTGCTGATCGCCGGTCCCCCGTCATCGAGTTCTGGGAGTAAGTCAGGTGCCTCTGGACCAGGCCCAGCCCACGCCTCTCTCTGGGCTCCACACGCCAATCTGCGTGGGTTGGGTGGGGCCAAGCCCCGGGGGGATTCCCAGCCTGCCCTTGGGGGCCCCAGGCCAGTCCCTGCGGGAGCCGGGCCGGATGGACCTTGTTTTTCAGCACCATGTCTCCCTCGGGGTGCTGTCACTCCGTGGTGCCTGATGGGAGGGGCAAGTGCCGCTGTGTGTGCTGGGTAGCCGCTGCCCCCCCACCCCTGACCAGGGGCCCCCGGCCTCCGGGCACATGCCCTGCGTTGTCTTCACGTGACAGGCTTGGGTCCGGGCCCCACCCGGGTGCTCGGTAGGGACCAGCTGGACACAAGGGCTGCGGGAGCGGGAGCACCAGCCCCAGGACAGCTCCCGGCGGCTCTGCCCTCTGCTCACACGGCCCTCGTGGGCTCTGCCTCCCCAGGAACAAAGTCTTGCGGCTCTCCAGGGGACTGGAGGTGCCAGGTGCCCTCAACTGGGAGGTGACCCTGTGTCTGCTGGCCTGCTGGGTGCTGGTCTACTTCTGTGTCTGGAAGGGGGTCAAGTCCACAGGAAAGGTACAGCTGGAGGCGGGCAGGGCTGGGGGTGATGGCAGGGCTGGGGTGCAGCACTGCCTGGGGGGGGGTGTCTCTGACAGGAACTACTGTTGCAACAAGAGGTGACTGGGCCAGGGCCTAGGCCTGAGAAGGGGGCAGGTACTTCAGTCCAGGCCACGTGATCCCAACCCCACCCCAAATCCAGGTCTAGCAGCCTTCCCCCTTGAGGGGGAGAAGCCCAGGCAGCAGCTGTCCTTCCCCTGTGTCGGGCATCCCCGTCCCCTCCCTCCTTCCTCGTTCCTCACTCACCACCTGAGTCTCTTTGGATAGTCTGGGTGGACCTGCTGTATGGCTCTCTTGCCTGCCTGTCTGGCCCAGGGTCGAGTCTAGACACATGCCTTCCCCAGAAGTTTGCTGTCAGTCCGGGAGACAAATGTGTGAACAGACGCATAATAAGACAGTGTGCCGAGGGCTGTGGGACATGGCCAGGTCCCTGGAGGGCTGGCTCGTTCCCCAGCAGGGTCTGAAGAGCAGCCGCTTCCCGAGCTGGCGGTCCGACTTGGATGGAAGGCAGAGCCTTTGCCGTCTGTCTCCCTTTTACCCGTCTCTGGCTGGCCCACTTTTAATCCCAGCTACCGAGGACCCTGCCTCTCTGCAGAGGAGGACCTGGACCTGCCTCCAGGCTGCTGTCCCACGCCCTGCCTGGGGAGGGCCCTGCCTCTCCCCTCCCTCTGCGGCCAACCTGCACTTGCCATGGGGCTGCTCATGCCCAGCCAAGCACCTGGCTTCCTTTGGAAGGAGCCATGGCTCTGGGGAGTTAAGGGGGGGCTGCCGGCTGGCCTCATTCCTCACCTCTGAACACACTGTCCAGCGGTGGGGGACCGTGGCCTGCCCAGCTCAAGCTGAGGGCCTCTGAGGGGGCAGTGGGTGCTACCGGGCCCCTCTGAGCAGCATGGCCCCCCAGATCGTGTACTTCACCGCTACGTTCCCCTACGTGGTCCTCGTGGTGCTGCTGGTACGTGGAGTGCTGCTGCCTGGCGCCCTGGATGGCATCATCTACTATCTCAAGCCTGACTGGTCGAAGTTGGGGTCCCCTCAGGTGAGGTAGAGGGGGTGGGAGGGAGGCCAGGGGGCCAGCCCAACAGGGCCCCTCACACCTACTTTGCCTTGGCCCGTGTCTAGGTATGGATAGATGCCGGGACCCAGATTTTCTTCTCTTATGCCATTGGCCTAGGGGCCCTCACGGCCCTCGGCAGCTACAATCGATTCAACAACAACTGCTATAAGTAAGGCACTCTGCCCCGCTCCCCTGTCCTGCCTGCCCATGGGCAGCAAGCAGGCAGCCTAACCAGCTTCTGTGGTCCCCTGTGATCCCAGGGACGCCATCATCCTTGCACTCATCAACAGCGGGACCAGCTTCTTCGCTGGCTTCGTGGTCTTCTCCATCCTGGGTTTCATGGCTGCGGAGCAAGGCGTGCACATCTCCAAGGTGGCAGAGTCAGGTAAAGACCCCAGGCCCCAGCCCGGCCTCTGAAACAGAGGCTGTTGTCCTAACATACCTACTGTGTGCATGAACGCACATACAGATCTACATTCTGAGAAAATTTTAATAATTTTTTTAAACGTCGTCACATTGCTCTGGGCAGGCCTGGATGAGCAACTGCAAGGCACAGCTGTTCCAGTCAGCTTACTGGGCCTGGCCACCTGGAGCCTTGAGCTCCGGGCAATCCATCCCTGGGGGCCTCTGGGTATGGTCTCATATTTGCCAGTGTTACAGAGGGAAAGGGAGGCATTTCCTGAGTCAAAGGTAACCAGAAGCCCAAACCAGATACCCCTCCTCCTTTGGGCGGTCTGCCGAGGGCCCCCAGGAGCCTTCTAGCCGCTGGGTGGCACACCCACAGAGGGCTCAAGCCACTCAGCAGTGCCTTGACATGAGGGGAAAGGCCCTTGGCCCCAGGGGGCCCTGGTGTCTGCAGTCTTGATACCATGGAGCAGGGGTGGGGGACAGGAAGTGGGCATAACCCACAGGTATCTACATCCTGCCTCTTTCCCTCTTAGGGCCTGGCCTGGCCTTCATCGCTTACCCCCGGGCCGTCACGCTGATGCCCGTGGCCCCACTCTGGGCTGCCCTGTTCTTCTTCATGCTGCTGCTGCTGGGCCTTGACAGCCAGGTTTGCAGAGGGGACAGGACAGAGGGGGTTGGAGGGGGAGGGGCTGGCAGGTGGGCAAGGGCCGTGGCCTGAGCACCTGGCCACAGTTTGTAGGTGTGGAAGGCTTCATCACAGGCCTGCTGGACCTCCTCCCGCCCTCCTACTACTTCCGTTTCCAAAGGGAGATCTCCGTGGCCCTCTGCTGTGCTCTCTGCTTTGTCATCGACCTCTCCATGGTGACTGATGTGAGTGGGGCAGGGTAAGGGTTGCCTCTGTCCGCTGGCTGCCATCTGCCACCTGCCCTGACCTGGCTCTGTCCCCAGGGTGGGATGTACGTCTTCCAGCTGTTTGACTACTACTCGGCCAGTGGCACGACCCTGCTCTGGCAGGCCTTCTGGGAGTGCGTGGTGGTTGCCTGGGTATACGGTAGGTCTGGGCTGAGGGGCAGGAGGGGCTGTGGCATGGAGCAGGCGTGGTGGGTCTACAGCTCTAGCTGTCCCACCTCACCTTCCCCCACCCCAGGAGCTGACCGCTTCATGGACGACGTGGCCTGCATGATCGGGTACCGGCCTTGCCCCTGGATGAAATGGTGCTGGTCCTTCTTCACCCCGCTGGTCTGCATGGTAAGGGCCAGGAAGGCTGGACTGGGTGGGGCAGGGTACCCCAGGCCCCACTGGCTAATTGCAGACTCTCTCCACAGGGCATCTTTATCTTCAACGCTGTGTACTCCGAGCCACTGGTCTACAACAACACCTACGTGTACCCGTGGTGGGGCGAAGCCATGGGCTGGGGCCTGGCGCTCTCCTCCATGCTGTGTGTGCCCCTCCACGTGCTGGGCCGCCTCCTCACGGCCAAGGGGACCATGACTGAGGTCAGTTCCTCAACACCGCCCTTCCCTTTTGTTTGGGTCAAATCCTTACCCCCAGATTATCTGTGCCCCTGCCCCCCACCCCCAGGATGTGTCACTGTCCCAGAAGCCTCTGGGCCAGCTGGATGAAAGGGACACTGGCTAGCAGGGTCATGGCAGGGGGAGGCGGCCTGTCCCTAGCTTCCATTCTCAGTCACACAACCCTGTCTCCCGGGTGCAGGGAGTAGCGCCTGGTCAGTGTCCCGGGAGGAGCAGCCCTGGGCCCTGAGTTGGTGGCAGGTGGTGGTGGTGGAAAGAGGCCAAGGACAAGCAGGTGTCCCTCCCCAGGGGCTCACCATGTCCCTTTCTCCTGCAGCGCTGGCAGCACCTGACGCAGCCCATCTGGGGCCTCCACCACTTGGAGTACAGAGCTCAGGACTTGGAGGTCAGGGGCCTGACCACCCTGACCCCAGTGGCTGAGAGCAGCAAGGTGGTGGTGGTAGAGAGCGTCATGTGACAGGGCCGGCCCCCAGTGCCAGCTCTCCCTCTTGTAGCCATAGCAGCCCCTGCTTTAGCACCTCCAACCCCTCCAGGGGGCTTGCCTTTCCCTGACACTTTTGGGGTCTGCCTGGGGGGGAGGGGAGGAAGCACTATGAGTGCTTGTGACTAAAATAACTTTTTCCATTTTTAATAAAATGCCAAAAATACCACAACCCACCAAAAATAGATGCCTCCCCCCACCAACCAAGCTGGTGCCCACGCTGCTTCCCAGGCCCTACCGCCTGCCCTCCCCCTAGTGCCTGCTGCCTGTCCAATACACCCATGGGTGGCTCCTCACCCCAGAGGCAGCGGTGGCAGCTTAGGGAACAGAACAGGAAAGGGGAGGGAGGAGAGAGAGGGGCAGCGGAACCACAGTGAGTATTTCAACTGGGCTAGACCCCTCTCCCCACCCCTAATCTAGAAGCTTCGAGAGCCAGCCAGCAATGGGACCTTCTGGTTCCTGCGCCAATTGCCACCAATATCAATTGTGTGAGCTTGTGTATGAGTGTATGTGTGCGTGAGTATGTAGGGCACATATAGATCTCTATCTCTTAGCAAAGGGGAAAACCAGGTGTACACTGTGCCTGTGGGCAAATGAGGCTTGTATTTTGCACATTTTATAAACACTTGAGGAGAGAGATTTCTGCTTGTATATTTCTAAAGAGAAAACAGCCCCGAGGTCCCTCTCCTTGCCACTCCCTGTCCTTTCAGCCCCTCCTTAATTCCTCTGCCCCAGCCAAGGAGTGTGAATTTATAGATCTAATTTTCATAGGCAAAACAAGAGCTTCAAGCTGTGCGAGTCTGTCGTGTGGGTATGCATGTGCGGTCCCCGGCCCCAGGCGGAGGTGGAAAAGTGCCCAGCAGGGGCCTCGAGGGGTGTCCCCACGATACTCCTCTGCCCACAAGTTGTGGGGGTGAGGAGGTGTGGTGTTCTGTCCCAGGAACGGGGCTGCCCACCTGGCATGCTCAACCTTACCCACACCCTGCCCCCTGGGCTGGGCTGGGCAGACTGCAGGGATCTGAGGTGGGCACCAGCCAGGGAAGAGATCCAGGCTTGGCTCCCGCCTGCGAGCTTAAAGCTGATGCACTTTTCACGTCTCAAGTCTTCCACGTAGCAGCTTTACTTAACCCACGTCCGTGTCATATCTAATCCCGGGACAGCCGAGTGGACCCTAGAAAGACTTCTCCCATACCCGGACTTCAACTGGAGGGGAGGGACTAGGGGAGGGACTAGGCGAGGGCGGGGGGCCAGCGGGGACATTCTTACTGTGCTAAAAGCCACTGCAAACATAGCAATAAAAACATGTCATTTTCCAAAGCTGGCTCCTGTTCTGCTTGTCTGGACCATGGGGGTGGGACTGGAGGTACAGGGGAGGCCTCCCCACCTCAAGCTGTTTCCTTGGGAAAGTATTTGTTCTGGGGGTCTCGATACCCGACTGTTCCAGGAACTGGGACTAGAGCAGGAAAGGAAACTAGCAGAAAGCCTTTCCCCTGAGGAGCTGACACACTTGGGGAGAAAGGATAATAGTATGCGACAGAGGCACACACCAAGCAGGGCAAGTGGATGTGAGGTCATGGACAGTGGGTGGGAAGTCACGGGTGCAGATTTTCCAAAGGTTGCCCAAATGCCACACTGAACACATGACTCCCCAAGATGCAGGCGGCAAGGGGCAGGCGAGGTGGAGAGGTGAGGTTGCAGCAGAGGCTGGGAAAGGTGGCGATCACTGGACCAGGACACCAGCAGTGGAGGGAAGAAGTGTGGATCAGAGACCAGTTTGTAAGACAGGAAACAGGGCTTGTGGACCACCAGGATGCAGGGTTGAGAGGAGTCAAGAAGGCCTCAAGAAATTGAGAGTGAGCACCGTGAAGGGTGGCACTGCCAGGCCATGTGCCAGGGAGATGAGGTTTGAAGGGGATGGTGGTAGCATCTGACTAAAGACCTCTAGACAGCAGTTGGACAAGAAGACTGGAGCTCTGGAAAGTCTGAACTGAAGAGAAAACTTAGGAAGTTCTCAGCACATAAAGACAGCCAGGAAAGCCCTGAGCCTGGATGAGCTCAGCCAGGGCGGCAAGGAGTGGGTGCAGAGGGAGAGGCGGCCCGAGCACTGAGCCCTTGGGCCCTGGGACACTCAGAGGTGGCAGAGGAGAGGCTGGTCAGTGGGTGGGATGGACCCCAAAAGTACAGAGCTGATCCTGGAACATGTCTGAGGAACACCCCCGCCCCCATTGGGGCCAGGAAAGAGTGCTCGGCTATCAGATGCTAATGGTCAAGGGAGCAAGGGCATGTCCCCCGCCCCCGACATGGCTCAGTGGTTGAGCACTGCCTATGAATCAGGCAGTCAGGGTTGATCCCCAGTGTGGGGTATACAGGAAGCAGCTGATCAATGGTTCTCTCTCATCACTGATGTTTCTCTCTCTCCCTTCCTCTCTGAAATCAACAAAAACATTAAAAAAAAAAAAAAAAGGGAGGGGGGGTGAGGGGCTGAGAAAGCTGGCTGGGTTTGATGACAAGCTCATGGAAACCTAGACAGAAGTTTGGGTTGGGGGTGTGCAAAAGCCCGGAGTGAGATTATGAAAGAAGGGCTGGAGCCCTCACCACTTTGGCTCGGTGGACAGAGCGTCGGCCCACAGACAGAAGAATCTTGGGTTCCATTCCGGTCAAGGGCACATACCTGGGTTACCAGCTCGATTCCCAGCCCTGGTCATGTGTCTCACTCACGTTGATGTTTCTGTCTCTCCCCCTCCCTTCCACTCTCTTAAAAAAAATCAGTGGAGCCAAAGCCGGTTTGGCTCAGTGGTAGAGCGTCGGTCTGCGGACTGAAAGGTCCCAGGTTCCATTCCGGTCAAGGGCATGTACATGGGTTGTGGGCACATTCCCGGTAGGGGGTGTGCAAGAGGCAGCTGGTCGATGTTTCTCTCTCATCGAGGTTTCTAGCTCTCTCTCTCCCTTCCTCTCTGTAAAAAAAAAATCAATAAAATGTTTTGTTTTTTATAAATCAGTGGAAAAATATCCTCGGGTAAGAATTAACAAAAAAAGAAAGAAGGGCTGGAAACAACCCAAGTGTCCATTGACAAGAATAGATGAACAAAATGTGGTCTGTTCATACAGTGGAATATTATTCAGCCTATAAAAGGAAAACCTGACACACTACAACATGGATGAACCTGAGGACATTATGCTGAATGGAAGGAGTCAGACACAAAAAAGGCAAACACTGTATGATTCCATTCTAGGCGGCCGCTAGAGGAGTTAGATTCAGAGACGGAAGAGTGGGCTGCTTGGTGCCAGCGGCTGGAGGAGGAGGATGGGGGTGAGTGCTTAATGGAGCAGTTTCAATTGTGCAAGATGAAAAGTTCTGGGAATGGATGGCAGTGACACACAACGATGTCCTTGATGCCACTGAAGTGTAATCTTAATGATTAAAATTGAAGTTTTAGGTTACATATATTTTAACACAACTTAAAAGAAGGGTGGGAAAGAACTGGAGACAATGGCCCCATTCAGGTCCTTGTGAGCAGGGCCTCAAGCACGAGAGGCTTCAGCCTTACAGCCTTAGGTGAGAGCCGGGTGCTCTAGTCAGTGCCACAGGAGGGAGGGCAAGATAGGCATGGGCACAGGGGGGGAGGGGATGTCAGGACAAGCACAGTCATCAGCTGAGGCAAGCCTGGGGTGAAAGTCAAGATTTATGAGGCTGGTGCTCACTCTGGATGCCAGCCTGGCCCCTCAGAGAAAAGTAACAGTTTGTTCCTCTCTGGGCTCTTTATATAGCAAGGCATTGTCCCCTTAGTAAGGAGGGGCTTTAGCCTCAACTGTACAGCCAGGGAGGGGCTCTGGCCTGTGATGCTGCCATCAGCCATGCTCTGACAGTCACCAAGATCCTGGACAGGGGGCAGGTCCTCAGGGCTTGGGAAGGCCTTTCTACAGCCTGTGCTGGCACATGGGGAGGCGCGTCCCCAACAGGCCAGCTCCTATGGAATGCCTGACAACCTGCTCTTCAGACCCAACACCTGCCCCACCCTTCTCTTAAAGCTTCCCACGCTACAACCCCTCAGCTCTCACCATGCCTGCAACTTCCAGAACTCTGTGTGCTAACAGCTCCCAAATCTCCAGCCTGGCTCCTGGGGTGATGAGGCTCCTTACCCAGGCCCTGCCCCCTGGCAATTCCTCCCCCACCAGCTGGACCGAGCCTGGTATCATCGCCCTCAGGCCCACTCCACTCCCGCTTCACCCCAGGCTCACACCAACTCCTTACCTTCTCCACTCCCTAACAGGGGCCATGCCTTGGCTCAGATCTTTGTCACCTCTTGCCAAATGGCCTCTAAGCCACCTGCCACACGACCACCAAAGACTCAGAAAACATCGACGTCACAAAAAAAGAGAAACTGACAGAGGGGAGAGCTGCAGGCAGGCACCATTTACTCAGGAAGCTGCCCCCCTGAGGTAGGAACTTGCGACACAGAGACAGGCAATCTAAGTGAAAGACAGGGAGGAAGTGATCAGCCAGGGGCCAGCCAGGCAGGGATGCTGGGGACAATTCTGCTCAGAGAGGAAGGCTGCTGGAGGAAAATAACTCAGGAGCAGCCAGAGGGGCTGGATACCACAGCTGGAGTCTAGGTGGGTGCCTGGCTTTCCACCTCTAAGAGTCTGTCACCCCCAGCTAGGCAGTCTCCTCTGTTCTGCTCTGCCCAGCCCAGCCCAGGGCCTGTTGCCAAGGGGGCTCAGAGGCCGCCTGGTGCTGACTAGGAAAGAACCCAAAGCCACACTGGTTGGACTCTGGCCTCTAGAAGTTTAAAGGGTGAGTTCAGAAAGATCATGGTCGTCAGGGAACACTTCCTGGAAAAGCGGGACAAGCCTTCAGCCTTGGCATAGCAACCAGAGGGTGTCACCTGTGGGCCCCTCCCTAGCAGGCACCACCCAGGGAGAAGTAGGAAGAGATAGACACTGGAAAAGGGAGCCATTGGGCCTGGTCGGGGAAGGAGGAAAGGAGCACAAGACTGGTCATCAGCATTACCATCTTCAGGGAACCCCCCAATTCCAAAAGAATATACCCACCCCACCTGTCCTCCAGGTCCCCTGCCCAGTCCCCAGGCTGGCAGCCCTAGCCATCCCCAGCCTCAGGCTGACCCTAAGTACTAGGCCCTGCTCCACGGAGGCTACCTGCAGAAGCCAGCCTAGGGGGGTGCTGAGGGGCAGCAGACTGAAGGAACAGGCTCTCCAGACTTGCACCCCGGCTATGTTCTCAGAGCTGCACCCAACCAATCCAGAGCCCCTCCCCTCCTCCTAGCTCTGTCCTGATCCAGTCATAGGTCACTGCCAAGGGCGAGACTCCTCTCCCAGCAGGCATTACTCAGAGGTCATCCTGCAAACCTTGGGAGGGCGGGGAGGACAGGGAGTGACAAGTGGCACTCTGCCACGTTCTGTCTGTCCTAAATGTGATGAACAGGACTCAGAGGCAGGCTACCGGGAGGACCCACCAGCTTACCAAATCTAGCTCCTCTGGGCCCAGTGGCCAACCCCCAGGGAGACAAACAGGACAAACACAGCCCAAGTGGCCATAAAGTGGAGCTTATCTTGGGAAGCAGAGAGCAAGCATAAGCCTGGACCTAGCCTGGGGTGGGGAGCCTTTAAGTTGAAAGAAAGTACCTAAAAGGGCAAAGACTGGGGGTCTCTGAGTTATCATTCCAGGGTGGGGGAGAAAGAGGCCTCCTTGCAGCCTGTTACACAGATACACAACAGACACTTCATAACAACCTTTATTGCCAAAAGAAACTACTCTGCCTGCTCCACCTACCCTCCTGCAGGACCAGAGAAAAGGGGCCTTGGGACCCCAAACATGAACGAGCAACAAAAAGGGGCTCAACCCGGCAGGAAGCAAGCCCCACTGCAAGGGTTCCAGGTGCCCGCCTTTTCATCCTGAGCAGGTGAAAATCCAGGCCCCAGTGGGGTTCTGGGAGAACAAGAAACTGAAAGCAGTGTGAGGGACAGGAAGTGCAAATACCGAAGGAGGACTGGCCCTCAGGAAGCAGCAAACATGGGCCAGGCCACGGCCACAGATGGACAGGAGGTGCCCTCACTCCTCCTTCTTGTCCGAGGGACCATCTATCTTCATCTAAAAAGGGACAAAAATAAATAAAAAAAGTGCTGGAGTGGCACACTCTTCCTTTTCGCCCTCTGGCACCTCCACCCCAGAGGCCAGGTATGGCACTACTTTCCCCCAAATGACAGGTATCCAGGTGACAAAAGTCCCCACCCTCAGCAGTACTCCAAAGCCTGCAAGGGTGGGATTAGCCTCAATCTAGTAAAGTCCTCAATCCAAACACCAGCTGACCCCAAACCAACATCTTCTCTTCGACCCCACCCCACCCCTGCCCCCATGCCCACAGCTCAACTTCCAGGCCTTTCGGAGTCCCTTTCAAGTTCCAGGCCAGGCTCTTCCCAACTCTACACACCTTTTTTAGTTCTTGCCGGCAAACCTGCCCAACACTGAGGCTATTGGCCCCCTCTGGGGGCTAGGCCCTCCCTCTTCAACCACTGTGGTGCCCAAACTTGGGCTGCCAACCACCCAGGCAAGCTGTCATAACTTAGGAGTGTTTACCTGGCCCTCATGCCCGATTTTCAGGCCATCTGAGCTTCCAGATGCAGCTACTTTGAGGGCTCAGACCAGGCCTGGGAGCACAGGTGATGGCAGTGACTAGCACCTGCTGGGCTGGGGACAGCCTGCAATGCCCCAGCTTTTTGCTCCTACATCACCCTGCAGCCCCCTACAGAGTAAAGGCCAGGGGCCAGTCCTGGAGTGGACACCAGACCAGGGATGGGGATCACTCAGGGAAAGAGTCCACTCGACACTGATGCTGGGCATGAGGCCAAGCCCACCTTAGTAAGTGGCTGCCATCTGCTAGGCCACATCCCTCCTGCCCAAAGAAAGGCTGCTGGGCCCAGACTCAGCAGCAACAGAGAAAGGGGGAGCGAGAGAGAGGGAACTGTCCCTACTGCCAGGGCCTCTTGAAGGGCCTGGGGCAGGAGGGCAGTGGCCTCCTCCGCGCAGAGGGGCCTCCCATCCAACAGAGCAGGCTGGGGCATGCTGACCTGCATCTTCGAGTGCTCCTCCAACAGACGGTCATATTCCTTGGTGAGGCCTTCAGATTGCTTCCGCATGGCCAGAGCCTCGTTTTCAGCTTTCTCTAGTTCTAAGTGATGAAAAGATGGGGATTAGCAGAGAAAACTCTGCTTTGTGTTGACACCCAATACGGATCCTGAATCTGTCCCCAGTGTCTAGACCACTCTTCTCAAGAAAGCTCCTCTGCGGGCTGCCCCGAGAGCCCCCAAAATGGGGAAGTTAGCCAACTAAGCTGAGGGAAGTGGGAAAATACCAAGGACCACCAGCCCCTTTAATGAAGATACCCAGAGTGGCTTCTGGAAGGGATGATTTCAGGAAGTCTGAAGGCATGGGACAAACATTCTGAGAATATTGGGAGTGACAGCAAGAGGCAGGGAGCAGAAGCCCAGCCTGGAAGCTGAGGACAGGAGAGGAATGTTGGAGAGGCCTTCAGGAAGGCCCACTTGCTGTGGGGTTTTGGGGAACATCTCAACCAGCTCTCATTTAGACTCCTGAGTTCTTTCCTTCCCTACCCGAGAGCCCCTGGTGACAATGCCCGTACCCATGCCTGGCACTGGGTGAGATGCTCTGGAATTGGTTTTCAGGCCTCTGTAACTCCCAGGGCCCTCCCTCAGCGGGCCGCTACGAGCACTGCTAAATCACCGAGCCCCACAGGCTGTCTGAGCTGGATGATAAGGGTGTCACTTGTTTGTTTACACCCAGCTCCTGAGCCCACATGTTTGTTATTAATACTTTGGCACGAGAGCAGTAGCAGCCACCAGCGGAGGCTCCAGACTTCTGGGGGCCAGGGGACACCTGAGGACAATGCTCACTTTGCTTGTTGGTGGCCAGTTCATCCTTCAGCTTCTTCAGCTCAGCCTGCAAGTCACTGTTCACTAACTCCAACTTCGTCTCTCTGGCATCCAACTTGATTCCACCACCAGCAGCTTCCTAGGAAGAGTGCCAAGGGCCTGGTTACTTGGGAGAGAGGGAGGGAGAGGGGTAGAGAGAGGGAGGAGGCGGGGGAAGAGGGGGAGAGGAAGGAAGGCACTCCAGCACCGTCCTCCCCACTGAGCTGTGATTCCTCAAGCTGCCTGGGCACTTGCCCCTTCGGAAATGTCAGCACAGAACTGGGCCACTGCTTGTTCCTAGCCATCAGGAAAGGCCAGAGCCAGCAGGGCCACCTGTTGTGGCTCATAGGGCACACACTGCCCACCCTGGCCCCCAGCCCTGCTTCCTTTCTCAGCAGCTCCTCAGAGTTTACCAGTCCATCTAATGAGTCACCTTGCTGTCATCTGGGGCTGGCTGCCAGTCACTCCCAAGTGACCAATGCTCCTCCTTCCTCCCCGCCAGGTTCCACAGCTCACTCTGGCCAAGGAGCCCCAAACTCGACCCTACTGGTCCAACTCTATCCTGCCCCTGAATCCAAGCCCATCAGCCTCCTTCCCAGCTTGGCTCACACCTCACCTCCTCTCACAGACCTTCTAGGATTGGCTACACCCCATCCCTGCCTCATCCCCAGCTGACAGCAATGCTCTTCTGTGTTAACTTGCCCACCGGTCACAGCGCAGGGCTCAACTCACTAGGGAGCCAGTTTTACCAGGAAAGAGTCTGGCTTAAACGTAGCAGGTAGAGGTGAGAGCAGCAAGAGCACCACCTCTCGTGCCCAGCCCCCCACACCCCTCCTGTACTGAGAGAACTGCCCCTTTGCCCCTCCACCCAATTCCTCAGCTTTTCCAATAACTAGTGTCACTGATAGGATCACAGTGGCCCATCAAGAATGTCACATGATGGGGTCAGGCAGGCAGAACTCACCTGCTTCAGCTGCTCATTCTCTTCCATATACTTCTTGGCCGCCTCACTAGCGCTCTCTGCCTGCTTTTTAAAGGCTTCATTGGAGGCAAGCAGCGTGGCCTGCTGAGAGATGAGGGTCACCAGGCGTCTAAGCAAGCTGTGAATGTTTACAAAAAGGAAGATGTGAGCAAAAGAAAGAGGGGAAAATGGCTGACATGAATTTCTCTTGGTTGCTCCCGCCCTATGCCTGCCTCCAGCCGAGACCTGCCCTCTTGGATTGCCAGAGCAGCCAAGCGAGACGCTGCAGGCCTAGATCTGGCAACATGAGGGAAAAGGTGGACCAGGAGCTGTCCTTTGCACCAGAATGATTAACACTGCCCCCAAATGGCAGGCACAGGAAACAGGAGCCTGACAGGACACCCAAGTGGGATGAGCTACAGCCTAAGGGCCTGAAACCTAGCACCTTCCAGATCAGGACCTGAAAGTGCCAGAGAAGCCAGAACAGAGTTATTTTCCTCAACGCAAGGTCAGGTTCACCCTCAACAAGCAGTTAGTGACTGGGGGTGCTTCCAAAAAGCCAGACAAATCCTTATACCTATCATGTGAGGCAGGGGAGATCATTGCCCCCATTTCACTGGGGAGACACTGAGGCTCAAAAGGTTAAGGTGACTGACTGGTCAAGGTCAAGAGCCAGAAGTGGGTGTGGCTACAATCCCTACCCCTGTTTGTCTGACCCCAAGGCCTAAACTGGGAACAACTATACATTTTCAGTGTTCAAGGACCCTCTCCCAGGTCCACTGAGAGAAATGGAAATGGTTCTTTTCCTCCCCACCCCCATCCTAAACATGTTCTACAGGGAGCTGCTGGAACACATCTGTTAAATAACATTGCCACACTGAGGTTCCCTGCGGCTGTGGGAACAGAAATGAAGAATCAGGGCCAGCCAAGCCATAAGAGGCAAACAGGCAGCAGTTGGGGGCACATGCTGTTCCATTTCCTGAAGTCACCCTCAAGGGGTGCGAATAGACAACTCTCCCCACACACCTGGGGCGGGGACCCAAGCCAGCCATAGCTTGGAGGAAGACATGGTATGTGCAGGAGCCCTGGGAAAGCCTGCTTTACCCAGACCCGCCAGCTGGCCTTCATGGGGTTCTCATGGACACCTGCTACTCAGGCAGCCCGAGGGAACAGCAAGTAAACAAGGCAAGTTCTCGCTGACAGGACATGCAGGACCGAGGGCCCAGAACCCGGCACTTCCCAGATTAGGACCTAGAGCCTGGGTCATCAGAACCCCTGTCAAAAACAAGGACTTAGAGGGGAGCAGGCTCCCGGGGACCTGAGACGCCCACCTTGCTTCCTGGGTTGGGGACAGGTTCTAGGGGCTCATGGCAGTACTGGGAGAGCCAGGCCACTGGTTCCTGGCAGGAGGGAAGAGTTTCCAGTGACATGTGCTCTCTAAAATTAGCAGCTGGGACCTCGTGGCCCAGGGCTCAGGTTTCCCTGTCTCAGCCCCTGCCTGCCCACCAGCCTGCCCCCCACTGGGCTTCAGCCCTGGAGGTGGAGGGAGTTCCCGGATACCCCAGAAGCCAGAGAGAAGACGTACCTGACTCAGAGGCAGTGGAAGTCACTGGAGGGGCCCAGAAAGAAAGGCAAGTCTGACTAAGCCCCAACCTCCCAGCGCAGAGCCCCTGGGCCAATCCCTAACTGGAGCAGGGAGGGGGGAGGGCATGTGTGCCACCTGGTGGACCCAGCAAGCAAAGCTGGAGAGGCGAGCCCAAGGGTGACACTGCTCCCTAACCGCCCCACCAACAATGCTGGGCAGGCAGCTGACTCGGGCAGGACTCCAGCAGTGCTGTGTGAGGTTGGGCCCAGGGTGGCGGCGGCAGCAGCAATGACAGCAGCAGCACAGCAGGGCCCATCTCTCCTCGGTACCCTCCCAGCCCATCCCCAGCTATGGAGCACCAAGGTTGCCAACAGGAGCCTGGGGAAACACAGAACCGAGCACAAGAGCCGTCCAGGGTCCTCCTGAAGCCTCAGCCTGCTCGCCCCACCCCCCACATCAGCTTGCAGCTCTTAGGGTCTCCCTCTCAGTGCAGGACAGGCACCCCAGCCCCATTTCATACCATGTTTTGTGCCATCCATGTCCTCTCCCTCCCTTCCTGTTAGACCTGTTTCTCTAACCCGGCCCAGAAAGATTCTGGGCAAATCTTCCCTCCATGAACCTTGCTCCTCATCATTCTCCCTCCTGCCAACCCAAGCCACTCCCCCCCCCTCCTCCCTCTATTCCTAAACCTATGCCAATCTAGGCCACAGCCTGGCCAAGCCACTAGCAGGTCCATCAGAGCCATAACTGCCCAATCCAAGGAGTGCCCTGGAATCCTGGGGAGGGGGTAGTGTTAACTCTGCAGCATTGGAGCAGCTAACAGAATCCTCCCTGCCCTTGATTCAAGCATCCTGGCTGCCTGCCAACCCTCTCACTGACAGGGTTTATCTCAGCCCAGACCCTATGCCCAACTGTCCACTAGACCATAGCTGCTGAGTGTCTCCAAGACATACCCAATGCAGCTGTCCACAAGGGCCAGATCACCCCTGCACCTCCCAAGCTCTCAGGTCTCCACCACCCAAGCCATTGTCTAGTCCTATCCATTTCTACTCCAGACAGACAACTCCCCGAGTCATCCCCATCACAACTTCTGTCCTGGGTGGTTTTAGCAGCTACTAACTGGCCTCCTCCCTAGCGCTGACTGTACTGCTTGGCAATACATGCCCTAAGACAGTGGTCAGCAAACTCATTGGTCAACAGAGCCAAATATCAACAGTTCAACGATTGAGATTTCTTTTGAGAGCCACATTTTTTAAACTTAAACTTCTTCTAACGCCACTTCTTCAAAATAGACTCGCCCAGGCTGTGGTCTTTTGTTGAAGAGCCACACTCAAGAGGCCAAAGAGCTGCATGTGGCTCGCAAGCCGCAGTTTGCCGACCATGACCCTAAGGGAAGCCAGTAATAGGGCACTGAGGGGATACACAAGGGTGCATTGATGTGTTTGGGAGAGGCTGGGGGGTGGAGGGTCACAGCGGGAGTGCTGGAGCTGGATCTTGACAAGATAATCTGATCATGTCACCCCTCTGCTTCCATCCCTCCTAACACCTGCCCTCAGCCTCTGGCTGGCACACAGCTCTCTGCTCTAGTAACACCAAACCATTGGCCCTTCTTGGAACATGCAAGGTTCTCACCTGCCTTGCTTCCCTGCCCCTGCACTCAGTGCTCCAATCTGCAATGGCTCCTCCCCTTCTGTTTGTGAATGCTTGCTGATGACTCAAGACCCAGCTCAATTTCTGCCAGCCCCCAAAAAGCCTCTCCTGACCCTCCCCTGTGCCCCATCCAGTTGCATTCGTCTGGCTTGTTCTCCTTATCACTCTGCATGGCTTGTTCCTTGTCTGGCTGCCCGGGGACCAGGGACTGCACCTTTGATCTCTAGATGGACCCCCAAGGCCCTTGAGATGACCTCCCCACTCTCGCATGTATGAGGCTGCACCTGAAGCCAGGGGTGAAGGCACGTATGGGGCCCTGGCTCTTCCCTGACCAGGTTGCACTGAGGGGGACACAGGACACGGAGCTTGCCCGTGCAGCAGCAGGGTGGCAGGAAAGAGAGGCAGAAAGCCACCAAGTCAGGCCCGTGTGGATGAGCAAGCTAGGCTGGCGGCTGCAGTGGGAGCTGAGAAGGCACTCCGGGAAGCACTCATCACCACAGCCGCAGCAGAACCCAGTGTCCTGGACCTCATCCACAGGATGTTCCCATAGGGCCCCAGGCTAAGCCAAGAGCAGCGCTCCCTAGCAGGCCAAATAGGCCTGCCCAGGAGCTGGCTGGCCTTCTAGAACTCTCACTGCCCCTCACACACTAGGCCCCATGCTTTTGCACCTTGCCTACACTCACCCATCAAGATCCAGCTCCAACACTCCCCCAGCCCCTCGCAAACACATCAATGTGCCCTTTGTGTGTCCCCTCAGTGCTCATGATGGAAGATGCTGAGCTTCACACTCTCCAAGTCTCAACAGCCCAGGAGGTGTCATCCTGGAGAAAATGCTGAGGTACTGCTTCTCCCTTTCTTGCTGGTTAGCCTACATCGTTCTCTGCTTTATCACCCAAACACTGTTACGGGGGTAACTGCTCTTAGCTACCCATTTCTGGACAACGGGTTAGACAGAACTCAGGAGCCAAAGAGATTTCCCAAAGAAACATGGCTGACAGAGGGGCCCAGGTTCTGGGTTAAATGCCCCCAGTGACAGAGGGAAAAGCCAGCACACGAACTTTGAGAATCCAGAGGTTTTCTTGGCAGACTAATATCACTCCCAAATACCTGAATTCAACATAAGTTTCTTGGTAAGATGTTTTTGGACACTGAGCAGGACTCTCGTGCTTTTATAAAAGGTTGAATAAACAAGAGAAGGCAGGAGAAAGTGAGTCTCTGTAAGGACACTGGAGAACCAGGGCCAACCATATCAAGTGGGAGAGACGTGCTTCATATCCTGTCTCCCTCCTGTGGGCTTAACAGGAAGTGGGACAGAAGTAAGGGGGAAGGTCCTTCCAAGTCCCGACTGGAATATCCTATGGTTATAATCCTGCCCGCTTAGTATTTACCAGGGACCTCTCCTAGGTGCCACACCCATAGGTGAGTTGGGTCACTCAGTCCTCGGGACCCACCAGAGCACAGGTGGGCGGGCAGCTCCCCTTCACCTTGCTGCCCAGTACAAGTGGGAAGCTGGCGCCACAGCGCCACCTGTTGACTCTCCAAGCTGACTACAGCCCTGCCCCAGGCAGGGCTTCTCAGAGTGGGTGGATTCTGGGTGAACTTGCCCTCAGTGGTCCAAGAAAACAGGAGGGTGCCCTAGCAAGGAACCAAAAGCCAGGCATTACCCCAGAAAACGGCTTCTAACATAGAACTGTAAGAGAGCAGAAGCCGCCCCAGGAAACTCTCACTCTGAAGAGTCTGGAGTAAAGAAAATAAGGAGACAGCAGAGCAGATGCAGGCACAACTTCCCACAGGGCTGCTGGAGTAAATCTCAGCATATCCACTCAGCCTTCCTCCAGCCCTGGAACAGAGGTTGTAGAAAATGCAGAGGGGGAAACATCCCTGTGGCAACTCCAGCCAAAGACCCAGCCACCCTGACAACAACAAAGTCAGCTAGAGGGGGACAGGGCAGGGGTATGCAGTCAGTCTTTCCATCGACTGCCTGTCCTCCACCCTCTTAAGCTAGAGTGCTGGGGGACAGGAGCAAGCTATGTTTCCAGGGGGTTTGTAGTGTGCCTTCTCAAAACCAGCCAATGGGTTTTGGGGGACAGAGAGCAACTGAAGGAGATCAGACAACCCAGTCAAAGATTTTCTGAGACTAGCTGACTCCAACTAAAACATGCTGTTAGCCCACCTGGCTATGCAGAAGTAACCCTGAAGGCAGTGGCAGGGAAGGGGCCACCTGGATGTGTCCTGCAAGGCCCTAGAGTCCAAAGGAAAATAAGCAATGCCTCCAGCAGGAGGCCCGGTGTGCTCAGAGCCTGGGGATGGGGAAAGAATCAAGGACAAGAGGTGGCTTCACCTACGCTGTCCAATATGAAGGCCACCAAATGCAGTTTCCCAGTTACACAAGCCACACTCCTCACAGCGACTGTTTCCGTTTTATAGAGATGGGTTTGGAGGACCCCGCTGGTCGCTTCTCATCCAGGACCCTGTTCTCCACTTCCTCATCCTCTGCCTTTAGGTCAGAAGCTGGAATCCTCAGACTCTGAGAGAAACGGGCCTTCCTGGAAGGGTAAACTTTTGATGAACTTGGAATCAGGAAGAAGGAACCCCTGCTGGCTTGGTACTGAGCCCCAAAGGTCATTCATTCATTGTTTGTTTTTAGTGTGAGGAAGAGAATTCTTCAGCCCAAATCAAGTAGCTGAACAGTCTATTTTAAAGTCAATGCTCATTCTTATGCATGTCAGATAATCCTTCCTGGACTCTTCATAGGGAAGACCCCACACACACTTTCCTGCAGACCCTCTTCATCAGTGCCCCTCCTAAGTGCAGCACCTATAGGACACTGGCACACTACTGTAGCTGGGGTGAGCTTGGCTTGGTGGGGACTAGGAGTCAATGGACTTATCAAAAAGACTCTTACCATGCCCTGGTCAGTGTGGCTCAGTTGGTTTGAGCGATGTCCCATTGCCCTGGAAGGTCCTAGGTTCAATTCCCAGTCAGGGTACATATCTAGGTTGCCGTTCAATTTCCGGGCAGGGTGTGAACCAATGGCAACTGATTGCTGTTTCTCTCATCTCTCTCCCTCTCTCTCCCTCTCTCTCTTCTCCCTACCTCCTTCCTACCTCTCTACAAAATATTTTTAAGACTATTTTTTTAAGTCTGGTCAGTATAGCTCAATTGTTGAGCATTGAGCGTGAACCAGGAGGTCCCAGTTCAATCCCTGATCAGGGCACATGCTAGGGTTGTGCACTCAATCCTCAGTGTGATGCGTGTAGGCGGCAGCCAATCAATGATTGTCTCTCATCATTGATGTTTCTATCTCCCCCTCGCCCTGCCTCTTTTTGAAATCAACAAAAATATATATTTTTAAATTTAAAAACCCAGATCTAAAGTGCTATTATCACTGTATTCTTAGGAAATTATGGCAGCCAACAGATACACGGATCAAGTGGATCTAAAGACCCAAAATCTCTCTGGCTGGCCTTCTACAGCAGTGTTCCCTCCACTTAAATCACTATCTTTGGGTAGGCCTGAGCACTGGGATTTTTAAAAATACCTCAGTTAGATACCAATATAAACAAATAAGTTATAGGGGGGGAAAAATAAAGCCTGCAAGGTAATCAGGGAAATGTAAGCAGGCACTCATAAGTTTATATTATTGAGAAATTACTATAAAGTTCTTGTAGGAGAGGTATTAGCGTGCTTATTTATTTTTTAATTTTTTTATTAATATTGAGAGAGAGAGGAAGAGAGAGGGAGAGAAATATTAATTGGCTGGCTGCCTCCCTACCAGGGATCAAGCCCCCAATCCGGGCATGTGCCTTGACCCGGAATTGAACCAGCAACCTTTCAGTGCATGGGAAAATGCCCAACCATCTCTCTTCAAAGCAATAAACCAAAATATTATTTTGCCTGTAAACATGACATCTGGGATTTGCTTCAAAATAATCCAGAGCCAGGGCACAGTGGGGGGTGGGGGCAGATAAAACAAAACTGGAGGACGTTTACTGCTAAAGCTGGGTGACATTCACAGAGGACCATTCTATTCTGCCTCTTCGTGTATTTCAACTAAGCAAGCAGTCTGTTTTGGGCTGAGAACCCCGTAGCATCATCCAACCGGATACCCAGGGCCCCAAAGACATCCCAGCTTGCCTGCCTCCAAGTCTTTTTCCTCTTTATTTTCATGCCTCCAACTCTTATTTGGCCTCTACCTGGGAAAGCCTTTCCCCCACCTTCAGGTCATGGTCGCAGCATCATGACTGGCACTTGGGGAATGTTTAATAAATGGTAACATTTATCAGTATCACCCCAAGTAGTTTTGTGGGATTTTTCTCACGTGTGTGGTAGGCTGTGTCAGCCCAAGTAGGGAAAGGAAGTGAAGGCTAGGTCTTGGTTTTCAGGGGTCTTATGTTCTGGGTTGAGTATGGGGTGGGAGCAGAGTAGAGTAGGACAGAGAGTACAGGTATAGCCTGTCTCCTGCCACTCCTGACTTATCCACCCTACTCTGCCTCCCTTCCCAACTTAGCCAGTACCTATGGAGGTTTAGGTATTGAGTCCGTGCCTCTCAGTGAGATGTATACAAACACACACTAGGGAGACATAGACAGTAAGAGAGATACAGACACTTGGAACATGATCCAGAGGCCCAAAGAACCTGGCCTTCACTCAAGGGCACCGAGGTTCATCAGCTTTTGCAGTAGCTTTTGCAGTAGCTCAGCCACTAACTTAGTGAGATGCAACGAGCCACGACCACAAGTCTTTCGAGTTCATGTTCGGCCCTATTTCCACAGCTCTTTATGAATCTACACACGTGTTTACAAATGTTTCCTTCTTAAAAACTCAAGTCCCATTCGAATCAACCCCATTTAGACAACTGTGGATTGAGAGGCAGCTAACCTACCTGCTGTTCACTTCCTCCTAGCTTTCATATCTCCCTGCATTTGTTCACCATGACAACCGTCCTCAGCACAGAACATGGAGCAGGTTGGGGGTAGGGCACAAGCTCCTGATGACTCTATTTGGATGGAACTGATCCATGGGGCGGCCACTCATGGGAGTTAAAACCCCGCCCAATGACACAGCTATGGCAGCATGGGGCCACACTTCAGCACCTGGTCCCTAAAAATTGAATTGGAGACTGGCAATCGTTCTGCCGAAAACCCACATATACTAACTCAACAGAAGGCGGGGGCAGACTGAGAGAACTGGCTCTCTAAAGAATTCAGAGTAGTCGCCAACGATGCCTCTTTGCCCTAAAAGCGCACAAGCTATTCTTTCTACAACATGACTTGAGATAAGAATCAGACCCTCCTATTCTGGTAATTATCTCATCTATCTTCTCCTCTCTTTGGAAATTGGGATGCTTGCCTGTCTGTAGTCTTCCAGAATCTCTCCCACCTGCAATTCCACCTACAAACAACTGCAAGATCCTCTAGACATAATGTCATGAAGCACAAGTGGAAGCTAAGTCATTGTGAGTAGCTAGGCACTTCAGCGTACCATTACCCTTCTAAGATTTCAATCATTTCATCCCAATGCCTCCTTGACCCTGCCCGCCATTCTTTATTTGACACAGAAACATTAAGGGGACTTCTTCTCCATGTCCTATACCGTGCTTCACAATCCAGAGTTCATTGCAGGGTTCCGCCTTCCTGATACTATTCTTAAGTTCTGTGTGTTCTTCTGGGGAAGTCCTTGCTTTTCGCCCTGTCCTTTCTATCTTTCAAATGAGATATGAGCTGGCTAGGAAGCCCTGAGTGCTTCTGTAGTCCTTCAGACTTGCAGTGCCATCATGAGCCAATCCCCCCTCCCAGCTCTTCTGCAGATGGAGTCAGAATCCTGATTTGCCTTCCTTTCAGTCTCAGCCTACAAGATCATCATCTTTTTCAGAGGTTCCAGAAACCCTAAATTCTAGAGTCTGTGTCCGACTCCTCATTTCCCAACTCTGATCAGTCGGCTAACCTTAAAGAGCTGTCTGCCCTTTCCAGCACCACCCCTGCCACTTTTTCAACTCTGACCCAGAGAGGGCGGGCTCACCTGAGCAACTGACTGTTTTTCTGCAAAACTGAAACCAGACAGGTAGTCATTCTAATGCCTAGTGAAAAAGGATGTCCAGGTAACAGGTGGTGGGAGATCCCAGCCTAACCAAGGATCCACACACTCACCCTGCTTCTGAGTATCCACACAGTGAGTGCCATCCTGATTCCTCTGGAAGCCCTTGGCCTGAGTGTTATGTCTACCCTCTGGCAGTCAGCATACTTGAGAACAGCCAGGGCCCCAATCAGAACCCCTGTGAGCAAGAGGCAGTAAACCAGCCCCAAGCTCAAATAGGTGCTTCCTATCAGTCTAGTCTTGCCCAACTAGCCAACCCCAACCCCAACCTGATCAAGGCATTCAATTTTACAAAAGAAAAAAAAGGAAAGAAACAAACACTCGGACTGCCAAGGATCAGAATGTACTCCTAGAGGTCTAACATCTGGGAAAGCCCTAGGGACACAGTCTCAGCCCCCTCATGCCTTACCCATTCCTACAAAGGCAAGAAACCAGTTTAACCTTCTGCCTCTCCCAGGGGAGGGAAACATCTCACTTCACACTGTGTACAGAGAGCAAGCTGCAATTGCATTTGCCCTAAGAGAGCACGTGGCAAATTGGGGCAGAGCCAGAACTCGCATCTTCTAACCTTCCAGCCAGTCCTGTCTCACTCTTTATGCTGCCTCTGGAGGTCAGGGGAAAAATTGGAGGCCTCTGGGGAAACTGTGTGGATCCCCTAACATAGACAGGCCTCGGGTTCAAGGCCATCAACTGAGGAATCAAGGTCACAGCCCAGAGGTCCCTTAACAGTCCCTCACCCCTCCCCACTCACAAGGACAAGAGCAAGGAAAAGCCAGCAATGTAGAGATTCCTCTGGGCACGGAAAAGCTTCATATGGAAGTGCTCCACCGCTCCAGGGTTGTTCTGGAGGTTCACCTTCTCTGTCACGTCGTCATACTTCGAAATCTCACGTACAGCATCTGTGGTGGAACAGAGAGGAAACCCAGGGTTTAGCTCCCTCTGGAACAACTCCAGCTGAGACAGTGTGAGTTGGGGAGGTCTCGATTCCCTCAAACCATCTCCCGCTATCACCCCTTCTACACACACCTCATCAGAGCTCTGCCATCAGACCCTTTCGCTCCGCCAGCTTTTCTCACATCCCTCCCTGGCCCTATTCTTCCCAGGCCACAGGCTTGCTGTGTCGAGATGCTAACCAAATCAGGCATTGCTAGCCAGGAGCAGTCCCCTTTCCCATGGTCCCCCCAATGTTGGGTTCTGTCTATCTCAAGTCAGGCATGCCACCAGCCACCCCACTGATATGTCAGGGTAGTCCCGCTTATGGAAATGACTGCTGAGGAAGTATGAGCTGCCTAGGAGGCAAAAACTAGAGGGTACCTGCTAAAGATTCAAGGATTTTCATCTCTTAAGCTTTATAATGGATTTTATTACTCAAACCATTTTACTTGGATTAAAAAAGGCATTTGTGCTCATCAAAAATTCAAACATTCCAGAAATGTGGAAAAAGAACCCCATAACACAATCATGTCCAGCAGGGTATACAATATGTGGCCATCATATCTAAAGCTGTCATTTTCAGTCACATTACCCTGTTATTTTCTTGGTAATACACACCCTTATCTGAAATTACCCTAATTATAGGTTTATTGTGTCTCCCCCAAATTAAACTAAAAATTCAATGAGAACAGAAATCCCCAGGGCCTAGTGAAGTTTAGGGTACACAAAGGGCATGCAAGTAACTCCTAAATAGTAAACAGCCTCTGCTCCTGAGAGCTGTTGTTAGATATACAGTACTCAAGTTTATAAATATTTTTACATCTATATTTGTATAATAGAAATGGAACCATCCATAGCTACTGCTTTCTCCCCTACACCCAGACATATGTTTAAATCAGTACATAAAGGTCTACCTAAAGAGGGCACTTAATAAACCCCATATAAAAGGGGCACAGTATCACTGTATGGACATTGTCTGATTCTTAATTCCTGACTTGAGACTGCTTGGTTTTTAAGTTGATTTTACATTATAAAAACCTACCTCTCCTTACTGGTACCTTGTTAAATTTGTATTGTGCCCTGGAAAATGTGGCTCATTTGGTTGAGCATCATCCCATACTGAAAGGTTGCCAGCTTGATTCCCAGTCAGGGCACATGCCCAGGTTGCAGGTTCAATCCCCAATCAGGGTGCATGTGGGAAGCAATCAATAGATGTTTCTCACATCAGTTTATCTCTCTTCCCCTTCCTCTCTTTCTAAAAATCAACTTAACCCTAACAGGTTTGGCTCAGTGGATAGAGCGTCACCCTGCGGATTGAAAGGTCCCAGGTTCAATTCCGATCAAGGGCACATCCCCAGTAGGAGGTGTGCAGGAGGCAGCTGATCAATGTTTCTCTCTCATCGATGTTTCTAACTCTATATCCCTCTCCCTTCCTCTCTGTAAAAAAAACAAAAACAAACAAACAAAAAAAACAACATACAAAAATAAGTAAAAATTAACTTTAAAAACATTTAAATCTGTATCTTAAAGTGAGCACTCTCCAACACTATTAGCAGGGATATAAAGTAGGCAACTCACCTATTTGCAATGGATTGCATGTTCCTGTCTCCTCACATTCCTATGTGGAATACTAATTCCCAATGTGATGTTAGGAGGTGGGGCCTTTGGGAGGTAATTAAGTCATGAGCACAAGGTCCTCATGAATGGGATCAGTGCCCTTATAAAAGCAACCCTAGAGAAATCCCTCACCGTCTTCTGCCAAGTGGACACAGAAGGCAGTAGTCTATGAACCAGGAAGAGGGCTCTCTCAAGACACCAATTCTGCTGGCACCTTGATCCTGGACTTCCAGCCTCTAGAACTGTGAGAAATAAATGTCTGTTTTTTTAAGCCACCCAAATTTATGTTATTTTTGTTACAGCAACCCAAACTAAGACACAGAATTTAAAATGTTCATTCCCTTGGATTCATCAATTCATAAATGTGCAATAAAATTAGGATGCCTATAATGAAGGAATTAGCCTTAGCATGTTTGGCTCAGTGAACAAAGGATTGGCCCAAGGACTAAAGGGTCCCAGGTTCAATTCTAGTCAAGGGCAGGTATCTTAGTTGCAGGCTCGATCCCCAGAGGCAACCAATCAATGTGTCTCTTCTCTCACATCGATGTTTCTCTCTGTGTGTCTCTCCCCCTCCCTTCCACTCTAAAAATCAATGGAAAAATATCCTTGGGTGAGGATTAATAAACAAAAAAAATTAATTAAATTATAGTATAACCACATGATAGAATACAACTATCTCACAGATGAGTTTTTATCAACATTGAGGCAAGATCCTCCACCAAGATTATGACTTGCTGAAGGCTCAGATTGTTAGCCTTTTTAACAGCAAAATAAAAAATTTTAATCCTCACCCAAGGATATGTTTTTATTGATTTTAGAGAAAGGGAAAGGGAACCATCAATGTGAGAGAAACATTGATAGATTGCCTCCCGTACAGGCCCCAATTAGGGTTCGAACCCACAACCTAGGCATATGTCCTGACTGTGCCTCAAACCTGCCACCTTTTTGGTACACAGGACAATACTCCAACCAACTGAGTCACCTGGCCAGATCAGGATAAAGTATTTTTAGTTAAGGTATTTATATTACTTTTTATAAACATACTAGAGGCCCGGTGCATGAAATTGGTGCGGGGGGGGGGGGGAGAGGGGTGTGGGGAGGGGTGTCCCTCAGCCCAGTCTGCACCCTCTCCAATCTGGGACCCCTCTCACAATCCAGGACTGCTGGCTCCCAACTGCTCGCCTGCCTGCCTTCCTGATTGCCCCTAACCTCTTCTGCCTGCCAGACTGATTGATGCCTAACTGCTCCCCTGCCAGCCTATTTGCCCCTAACTGCCCTCTCCTGCAGGCCTGGTCCCTCCCAACTGCCCTCTCCTTCTGACCTGATCACCCATACCTGCCCTCCCTTGCAAACCTGGTCCCTCCCAATTGCCTTCCCCTGCTGGTCATCTGTGGCAGCCATCTTGTGTCCACATCGGGGTAGGATCTTTGACTACATGGGGGCAGCCAACTTGTGTGTTGGAGTGACAGTCAATTTACATATTACTCTTTTATTATATAGGATTGCTATTATACACTTAACATACTACAGTATAATGTAAACATTAAATTTTATATGCACAAATAAACCAAAATATTGGTGTGACTCGCTTTGTTGTGGTATCCACTTCATTGGTCTGGAACTGAACCCACAATATGAGGCATGCCTGTATAGTCAGCCCTCCGTATCTGTGGGTTCCACATCTTTGGATTCAACCCAGTGTGAATCAAAAATATTTGGGGGAAAAATATTGCATTGTTGCTATTGTGTATTATGTAGTTAAGTCTATGATGGTCATGTCTGTACTGAACATGTACTGACTTTTTTTTGTCATTATTCCCTAAACGATACAGTGTAAGAACTATTTACATAGCACTGTATGTATGAGGTATTACAAATAATCCACAAAAGAGGTATACAGGAGGATGTGCATAGGTTATATGCAAATACTACACTACTTTACATAAGAGACTTGAGCATCCATGGAATTTGGTATCCATGCGGGTCCTGGAACCAATTCCCAGGGATGATGTATTACACAATCTTTAAAAAGAATGAAACTGCTGTAACAAGATATCTAAGTTACAATAAGTGGAAAAATGCAAATTCCAACAGTGTATAGTATATTAATAAAGACATCAGCACAGAAAATGCTCATGGAACTATGCAATAAAGCATTAATGATGGTTATCTGTGAGATATGAAACTATGGTGAGACATAGAACTGTGGGAGAGTTTAACTTTTTAGGTGAAGTTTCTGAATTTTTAAAAATATTACTTTTGTGTCTTAAAAAAACACACATATTTTTCTACATTGTCATCAGCAACTAGGAACCCCACCACCTTAAGGACCACGTTGGCCTATGGCAAAGAGCAGATTGGGGATGAGGGTGTTAAGCTATACTAACCCAAATCACACAACAGTGTGCTGCTCTCTGTATCTCAGGCCTCTAGCCCAGAGCAGTTGACCCTGGACCCTCATCAAGCCCACTCCCCAGTCAGATCTGCCCTAGGCCCCTCTCACTGAAGACTAGGAGCCAGCCAGGCTACAGCTCTAGCTGGTATGCCCATTTCCTTTCACTAGTATTTACTACTAGCGTCATTTATATTTGTAGAAGACTCTACAGACCTTTCTAGATTACGATTCTTACATTAGGGCAGGAAGCAACCTGTCATCATAGCAGGATTTGTCTCTCTAGAACTTTCAAGCAATTCCTCAACTCCAAAAAAAAAAGAATGGCGCCTTTGCTAACTATTGGGTTCTCTGTAAGGGGCCTTCCTGGCCCACTTGGGTGTGTTAGGAAATGGAGAACTCCTAGAGTCTGGTTTGCAGAATGCCAAAGCCCAGAGGAAATACCCCAAGCAAGTCCCTCCCAATCCCAATTCTTACCCCTATCCCACATTCAAAAGCAAAAGCACATGAAAAACCTGGCTTTCCGTGCTCAGGGGATGACGTTCATATTCCCTACCCCTGCGGGCTCAGAGGCTGCTCAGGGAGAGGACCCTGATAGGAAAGACGTACCTCATGGTGGAGACTTACCAAGGATTTCAACAACAAGGTATGCGGGCAGCTGGCACCCACCCTACATGTCTGAGAATAAGCAGGCCACACCTGGCCTATGCAGAGGTAGTCCTGCCTGAACACATCCTGTCAGGCCCTGAGACATTTAGGAAAGAAATGCCTAACACAGTAGCTAGTGGGTGGGGCCATGCAAGTTCCCCTAAACTAGGGCTCCTGGGCCTCCCACGCCCCCTGCTGGTTTTTTAACTATTGTTTTTTCATTGATTTTAGAGTTAGAGAGGGAGGAAGGAAGGGGGGGGGGGAAGAAGGGGGTGGGAGCAGGGAGAGACATCAATGTGAGAAACAGATCAGCTGCCTGCAACCTGAGCATGTGTGCTGACTAGTAGTAGGAATCTAACTGGTGACCTTTTGGCGCACCAGACAATGCCCAATCAATTGAGCCACACCAGCCAGGGTCCCCTGCTGCATTTCTGACGTGGACTGGGAAAAGAGGAGTGCTCTGAGCTTAAGCATCACACCTTAGAGACAGGACCATTTTCTGTGGCAGAGCCGAGCCAAAACTTTGGAAGTCCAAGCTTCACTAATTCTGTTGGTCTCTGAATAATCATGTTACCAGAATGTCGCAAAATGTTTGCCTTCCATCTTAGTACCACCTGCCCCAGACCCCATGCCTGGTATGCCTAAGGACCAGTTTCTTTTATGCCCCTGCTAGTGTGCACTTCAATGTGCAGTTTATAGAACTTCAGAGCTGGAAGAACCTGGAAAGACCTGAAGTTTGACCCAAATCCAGAGATGTCTGGGATCTACTCCCTAGATATGCTGCTAGACCTCTTGGTCATCCCTATACTACAGGACACAGCAGCTTCTGTCCCATTCCCCTAATCATGGCGTATTTCAGGCATGGAGGGAGAGACTGATGCTACTGTCTAAGTGATTGGAGAGCAGTAATACTTAGACCAAGGTCAGCAAGGGCCAGTGAAGTTTCTCTTGGTTTCAGTTCTGGAATGACTCAGAGGAGCTGCCCCAGAGACATGAAGTGGTCAGCACAGGGTCCACAAAGACTGCTGGTCAAAGTGAAGGCCCTGCCAAGTACCCTTTTTGGGGAGGAAGAAAGTCTCTTCCCCAAGAGAGAGACACTTAGGTGATCTGTCTCAGAAAAGTCAAAACTGTAAGCTACACGTGAAACATGGCACAGAGCTTTACAGCAAAGGCCACGGCAAGGGTCTAGGTCAGGTAGCTGCCCTCAGCCACAGCTCACTCACCAATGACCAGCAGCACAAGGATGGCAATGAGGACCACAAAGAAGGTGTTGCTATAGGTCACTACCAATTCCACCAGCCGGGACTTGAATATCTTCTGCCATCTGTGAAGAAAACAAAAAGATAGGGGCTGTAGAAAAAGAACACACTTGGGCTCTGGCTCTTAAGAACAGAAACTCAGTTTTGCAGTATTCTCCAATGGCTGAATTTATCATACAGACTCAGACTCAGCTGCTTGGATTTTTCCAATTTATGACAGCCATTCAAGAGTGGTTAAGCCCAATTGGCATGGCTCAGTGGCTAAGCGTCGACCTACGAACGAGGAGGTCATAACTCAATTCCTGGTCAGGGCACATGCCAGGGTTTCAGGCTTGATCCCCATTGGGGGGCATGCAGGAGGCAGCCCGATCAATGATTTTCTCTCTCATCATTGATATTTCTATCTCTCTCTCCCTCTCCCTTTCTCTCTGAAATCAACAATAAATATTTTTAAGTGGTTAAAAAAAAAAAAGATGCTTGTCCATACATAGAAATTTCTAGAACACCAGTCGTAAACACTGGTAGTCACTGGGGAAGGAAATGGGCAACTTACTTTCCACTGCATTTCTCTAGGTAGTCTTCAAAATAAATATTATTGAAGTTGTTTTTCCATGTGAGTAATCTTGGTTCATCTAGAATCCCACCACCCTGGATTATTATGAAGCAGACCCATCCTCCCTTCATTTCCTCCACAAATACCTCAGGATGTAGCGCTATCAGAGAAGAGCCTTCGAAAATAGTTAATGTAATCACAATGCCATCACCAAACCTCAAAAAAATCAGTAAGTAGCCCTCACTATCAGAGCCAGACTCCCAGTCCAATTGTTGCATTTCTAAATAGCTGGCTTGTCTGAGTCCAGAGATAAGGCTCCTATTCGGTATTTAGTTGGAAAGTATAAAAAAAAAAAAAAAGATAGAAAAAAAAAGAAAAAAAAGATAGAGAAAAGTATCTCTCTTACTCTATGAGCCTTTCCTTTTGTTTTCTATCCCAATTTACTTTATGCAAAAACCAGGTCATTTAGCCTACAAAGCCTCCCCGATAGCAGCTCCCAGGAGGCCTGTTTCTGTATTTCCTACAAATTGTATGAGATGTGAAGATTCAAGATATGGCTTTTGGCAAAAACATTCCTTAGGTAGTGCTAGCATCACATCAGGTATATGCATTTTTCATTAAAAAGTGTTTTATTTATTTATTTTTTAATATATTTTATTGATTTTTCACAGAAAGGAAGAGAGAGGGATAGAGAGTTAGATACGTCGATGAGAAAGAATCATCGGCCAGCTGCCTCTTGCACACCCCCTACTGGAGATGTGCCCGCAACCAAGGTACATGCCCTTGACCGGAATCGAACCCAGGACCTTTCAGTCCGCAGGCCAACGTTCTATCCACTGAGCCAAACCGGTGCCGGCTAAAAAGTGTTTTAAAAAAATATTTTTTTTATTGATTTCAGAGAGGAAGGGAGAGGGAGAAACATAAATGATGAGACAGAATCATCAATCGACTGCCTCCTGCAGGACTCTACTTCGGATCAAGCCTGCAACCCAGGCATATGCCCTGACCGGGAATGAAACCATGACCTCCTGGTTCATGGGTCAATGCTCAACTGAGCCACACGGGCCAGGCTAAAAAGAGTTTTAAAAAATTTCTTTGCTTAGTTGGTTGGAGCACTGCCCATAAACCAAAAAGCTGTGGGTTCAATTTCCCCATCTGTGAACATACTTAGGTTGAAGGTTCGATTCCTAGGCTGGGCACATATGGGAGGCAACTCACAGATGTTTCTCTTTCAATGTCTGTCCGTCTCTCTCTCCAAAAATCAATAAAAAACACATCTTCAAGTAAGGGATTTAAAAAATATATATTTATTGCCCTGGCTGGTATTCTCCATGATTAGAGCATTGGCCAGCCCACCAAAGAGTCACAGGTTCAATTCCTGGCCCTAGTCAGGGCACATGGGGGAGGCAACCAATCAATGTGTCTCTCTCACATTGATGTTTCTTTCTCTCGCTCCCTTCCTCTCAGAAATCAATAAAAGTATATTTTATAAAAATAAAATAAAAGCGCCGAAACCGGTTTGGCTCAGTGGATAGAGCACTGGCTTGGGGACTGAAAGGTCCCGGGTTCAAATCCGGTCAAGGGCATGTACCTTGGTTGCGGGTGCATCCCCAGTGGGGGGTGTGCAAGAAGCAGCTGGTCGATGTTTCTCTCTCATCGACGTTTCTCTCTATCCCTCTCAATTCCTCTCTGTGTAAAATCAATAAAATATATTTTAAAAAAAGAAAAAAGAAAAGGAGTTTCTTTAAAAAAAAATAATAAAATAAAATAAAAGCAATGGAAAAAATGCTCAGGTGAGAATTAACAAAACAAACAAACAAACAAAAAAAAATATATATATATATATATATATATATATATATATATATATATATATATATATATATCTGTGGAGACTCAGCCTCACTTGTAATTTTCTAATTTAAGTCAGAATGTGTTCATGTCATAGGCAATTAAAAATTAATTTCCGATTAACTTTTAACAGGTTCTTTGTTCATTAAAAGAGAATATGGCTTCACCCTGCATAGGCTGAGTAATGCTCATGAGGCTACTACGCAATGCCAGTGAGACTAGTTTAGTAGCACAAAAGTCACCAAATAAGCAACAACGTGACCCCGTGGTACAAGTCTTCTGGATCCCACATTGTCATCCTCCAAATCCCAGGAACCCAAGAGGAAGAAGTAGGAAGGCCTCATTCCCAGAACCGTAACTAGAGCTAGATCTTGTCCCCTTTGGGGCATTCAGAAGACCAGAGGCAGGGTGCCCAGGAAAGAAACTCAGCGAGATATGACAAAGCAGAACGGTGTGGAAGGTTGGCAACAAACACAACCCCTGCCACCCCCCGCCCCAGACACGTTCTACCTGTTTCTGTCTGGCTCTAATTCCAGGGTCTACCAACTTTACACACATAAGCTTTGGGGCTTGGCAACAGTCTCGTTCTTCTACGTCTGCCTGCTTGTTCCACAGGCCATACCTTTTGGGTGAAATGAAGGGAATGCAGAGAAGCAGCACAGCAAAGACCTCTGCATAGAGGAAGGTGGCAACTGCAGTCCACTGCAGGCTCATCCTGTTGTTAGAAGATTTCCAACAGCGAAATGTGAGCTTCTCTCCTACAGGGCACAGGACGGACAGGAGTCATGCAAACTGGACAGCCATGCTACCCTGGGAAAGGGGGGCTCCACTCAGCGGGGAGAGGGGAGACTTTGGCACTCATGCACAAAGGCCTGCCCCACTTCCACCTGCCGGGGCGGAGTTACTTTGCTGCCCCCTCCAGTATGTGCGTCAACATGTCCAGAGCCACCTTCTGGACAATTCCTTTCCCGTGATGTCCAAGAGACACCTTGTACCTGTTTAAGTGGGAACGTGTTTTTCACAAAGATTATACAGATAGGAGAAAATTCTCCACTTTCCGTCAGGCCCGCTCCCTTCCCGGACACGGGAAGCTCTCGGCGGAGGGCGGTGACTCCCAGCTCCCAGAGGGCTCCGTGGCGGCAATATTTCAGAAACGCAGTTTCTCCAATAGCCAGGGCACTCCCCTCTTCCCCGCCCCGGAGGCCCTTCCCTGAAACCAGCAGCTCCCTCGGGGGCTCGAACGGAGCTTAACGAGGCTTCCGGACTGCTGGCCCTGCCTCCAATGGGATGGAGGACTCGGAGTACCTCAAAAAGCCCACAAAGAGCGACTCCTAGAGGGCGGGAGCCAAGCGACACCAAGGGCCAAGAGCGAATGCAGCTCTCGACTAAGTACCTCCCGGCCTCGTCCAAAGAAACTTCTAGAAGCAACTGTCTCCTCAGAAGCCGGAGGAGACCCTCCCGGCAGCCCGCGCTCGGCCAGTCCCACAGCCTTCCCGGAGGCGCCTCGACGTGGCCCTACCCCGGCACGCCCCCCCCCCCCCAATTCCCAGGCCCGAGGCTCCTCCGGAGGGGCTCGGCCACCGCACTCCGCCACCACAGCCGGCCCTCACGCCCCCGGAGCCGAGCACTGCCCGCCGCCGCGCCCACTTCCCTCAGCCCAACCCTGCCCCCTCACTCCCGGATCGGCCCTCGACCCTAGGGCCCCTCCCCACTGCCCGCCGCTCTCCGTCGTCGAAGGACAGAGGCGACCAGGGCGGCCCCAGAGCCCTGACAGGGCTGCGGCCCCGCTCACCGAGTTTCTCACAGAACCGAGCACGCTCCTCCGCTGCCGCCAAACTCTCCCACCCTGGCCCTGGCCACGCCCCTTCCCCCAGCAGCCGGAAACCGGAAGCGCTGACAGGGTCCCGCCCCTCCCCCAGCCGAAGCGAGGCCCCGTTGGCTCCGCCCACGGCCGCTTTCCGCCCCGCCCCCCAGCCGCTGCGTCGATTCCCACGTCTTGGGAAGAAACGGAGCTTTGGAAGCGCAGGGAGGCGGGGCGAGGCCTTGGCGGGAAGACAAGGCGCTGCTTCTCTAGCCCGCGCGGTCCTCCCACGTCTCTTTGATCCGGAAAGGGATTGGGGTCCGACCGTGGGGAGAGAACGGGGTGGGGCGCGGTGCGCCCGGGCTCCGCCTCCCGCGCCTCCTCCGCCTTTCGCCCCTCCTTCGCCTCCTCCCTTTCCCCCGACTCGCCCCTGGGGAGGGGTGGGTGGGTGGGGATTCTGGGCGGGTGGCGGAGTCACTGTCGCTTCAGCCGGGCTGTGGAGAGGACGGACGCGCCTGGTGCCCCGGGGAGGGGTGCCACCAGGGTAGGAGGAGGAGGAGGTGGAGAGGAAGAGACGCCCTCTCTCCTTGAGCCCTCTCGAGGTTCTGACCCCAGGGGCAAGGAGACTGATAAGTTCCTCCACTCCCCTGCCTGAAGAGGCCGCGACCCTGGAGGGACCTGAGCCCACCGCATCAGGGGCTCCAGCACCGCCCCAGTGGCCTGGAGCAACAGCCTCAGGGACCACTGCAAGATTTCCAGTTGCCTAGACAACCAGCCGGGGCCGAGCAACAACCCTTCCAGCCACCTGCCTCTACTGCTGGCTCAGACACCAGTCCCAGCCCGGTGCATCCAGCCCAGGTGACATGCCGGTGCTCTCCACCCCCCGGGCCTCGCGGGTGACCACGCTGAAGCGCACAGCTGTGGTCCTGGCCCTCACGGCCTATGGAGCCCACAAAATCTACCCCCTGGTGCGGCAGTGCCTGGCTCCAGCCAGAGGCCCTCAAGTGCCTGCAGGACAGTCCACGCAGGAGGTCTCCGGGGCCGCTTCGGCCACAGGAGCCAAAGCCGGTGTGAACCGTGTGTTCTTGCAGCGACTCTTGTGGCTCCTGCGGCTACTCTTCCCCAGGATCCTGTGCCGGGAGACGGGGCTTCTGGCGCTGCACTCAGCCACCCTGGTGAGCCGGACTTTCCTATCGGTCTATGTGGCCCGCCTGGACGGTCGGCTGGCCCGCTGCATCGTACGCAAGGACCCGCAGGCCTTTGGTTGGCAGCTCCTGCAATGGATCCTCATCGCCCTCCCAGCCACCTTCATCAACAGTGCCATCCGCTACCTGGAGGGCCAACTGGCCCTGTCTTTCCGAAGCCGTCTAGTGGCCCATGCCTACCGCCTCTACTTCTCCCAGCAGACCTACTACCGAGTCAGCAATATGGACGGGCGGCTTCGCAACCCTGACCAGTCCCTGACAGAGGATGTGGTGACCTTTGCTGCCTCCGTGGCCCACCTGTACTCCAACCTGACCAAGCCACTCCTGGATGTGGCTGTGACCGCCTACACCCTGATTCGAACGGCTCGCTCCCGCGGGGCCGGCACGGCCTGGCCCTCAGCCATTGCTGGCCTCGTGGTGTTTCTCACAGCTAATGTGCTGCGAGCCTTCTCACCCAAGTTTGGGGAGCTGGTGGCGGAGGAGGCGCGGAGGAAGGGGGAGCTGCGCTACATGCACTCTCGCGTGGTGGCCAACTCAGAGGAGATCGCCTTCTATGGGGGCCATGAGGTGGGGCAGGTTGGGGTGCTGAGCATGGAGGAAAGCATGTGGCTGGGAGGCCCAGGGGCAGGCAACTGTGAGCGGTGGGGAAAGCCAGGGCTGGCTCGAGTTGATGCCAGAGGTGTGGGCAGACCACAGGAGAGGGAGACTGGGATGATGAGCGGGGCTTGGGACTGCCCAGATTTAGGCACAGAAATGGAGAAGCAGGAAGGCTGGGTGGGGACTGCCCTGGGCCGGCTGCCTGGCCACTTCTGCTTCCTCTCCTCGGTGAGGCTGTCTTGGTCTTGGAGCTGCTTGGGGCTGCGGATCGTAGCGGTTTGAGATGCTTAGAGCTCCAGGCTCGCCCCATTCCTGCAGTCAGCTGGAAGGAGGCTCCTGCTGTCTGGGATCGGGGACGGTGGAACGTGGCCTGTTGCCCTGCCCCTCCTGGGCCCCAGGGCCCTTTGAAGGCCAGCGTCCAGCTAAGCTGGCCAGCCAGGCAGGCACGCATTACGGGCATGACTCAGCCCAAGCGGAGTTTAACAAGCAGCACCCAGCGCGGCCGTGCTTCTCCGCCTGAGCTTAAGGGCCAGACAGGCTGCAGGCTCAGCCGCCTCCCTGAGGCCCCGAGGCAGGGATGCAGGGCCCAGGCCGCCACCTCATCGAGACGTACTTCCTGCCCGCCCAGTGGCCACCCAGTCCCTGGCGTTGCCGACCTTCCGCCTGTGTCCCGGGGCTCAGCTCCCCAGTGGGCCGGGGCAGGGATAGGGGCAGGGTCGGCCGGGAAGCTGGGCGCTGGGAAAGGTTACTGCAGGCTAATGCTCCCTTTATCTCGCCTCGGCCCCTCCTCTTCCTCGTGCCTGGGGTTGCAGCTGCCTCCGGGGGCCCTGCTCTCCTGCTCCCCTGCTCTGAGCAACTCTGGTTTCGGTTCCGAGTCCTCGGGGGAGGGGTGCAATGGCATCCACCTCGTGAAGGCCTGTGTGTCTGTCCCTGGGTCGGGTGGCCTCTTGCCCCTGGGCCTTGTCTCCCTGGCTGTGCTTCAGACTCCAGATTAGGAGAAAAGCACCTACTCTGCAGCCTCAACCCCCTCCCGTCCGGTCGCGCACGCAGGCTGCAGGGCCTTGGCAGGCAGCCGTGGCCTTGGGTGAGGCACTTGGCACATTACCCGCAGCTACATTGTCAGCCCCAGCTGGCACTCCTGCCAGCTCTCAGCACGAGTCAGGATTGCCAGGGTGCTCAGAGGAGGTGTGCTCACTTCAGGAACAGGAGATTGGGCTTGAGGCAGAATCGCAGGATGCAGAGGACCTACCTATATGGTGAGGGCAAAAGAGAGATTTCTGGTTCTTTGGAGGACTTTCCTCTGGGCTAGCTTCAGGAAGTAGCATGTTGGCCAGAGGGTCCAATGGGGAGTTTGGGGGGGGGGGCAATTTGCCTTCTCAATCTGGCTGGAAAGCAGTGTGGGAGAACAGGCCCCCATGGGTGGGCTGATTTTCCTTGTTGTGCAGGCATGTGGCTCATCCCAGTCCCACTGGTCGGTGTCCCAGTGGACACTGGCCCAGAACAGGTTAGGGCAGAGGTGCCTGACTGGCTGATGGGCAGACAGCAGAGTTTTCTGTTCTTATTGAGCTTTCAAAGAAGAGCGTTATTTAAACACAAATGCACCCACATCTATACACACTGCAACTCTTGTTGGCTTGTGAGCAAGATAAACTTTTCTTTCAAAAATATTTTTTTAATTGATTTCAGGAAGGGGGAGAGAGAGGTAGGAACATCAATGATGAGAAAGAATCATTGATCAGCCGCCTCCTGCACGCCCCACACTGGGCATTGAGCCTGCCACCCAAGCATGTGCCCTGACTGGGAATTGAACCGTGACCTCCTGGTTCATAGGTCCATGCTCAACCACTGGGCCACACTGGCCAGGCGGTAAACCTTTCTTAATAAGGCAAAAGCATCATTTACAAAACTCTGGTTCTCTTGATGGCTCTGCAGAGTGGCCCAAATTCCACACCTTCAGGTTGTGTGAGCTAGGGCAGGTCGCTGCCTCTCTGGGCTTCTGTAGTATTCTACTGTACAATGGAAATGAGAATACAGGTAGAGTAGCGTGTGGTGAGAATCAAATGGAGAGTCCAGTGCCAAAGCATTTGGCTAAAGAAATGGTGTCCGGGCTGGGCAGCTGTTGTCAGTCAGGGGTGGAAAGGCAGAGCCGGGATGCATGCTCCTGTGCTGAGCCAGGAATCCATGACCCAGTGGCTACCTGCCTCCCTGGATGCTGCCGGCACGGGAGGGCCTCTTTCTCTCCCACTCCCTTTCCTGCTCTCTCTTCTCCAGGCCTAAGATGGCAGGTTGCGGCCAGTGCAGGAAGGGGGAAGGGAGGGGAAGACGGGGAGGCCTCAATTGGCCGTCAGGGGGGCAGGCCTTTTGGGCGGGCTCAGGAGCATGCCCTCCAGGTTGCAGTGGGAAAATGGAGTGGAAGTTTCTCACCCAGAAGATCCCTGGGGAAGGTAGTAAGATAAGGTGACCAGACATCCCGCTTTTGGCGGGACAGTCCCAATTTTTAATCATTTGTCTCGCGTCCCTCAGCATTTAAAAATTGTTAAAAATCAGGACTGTCCAAATTGGGACTTTTTAAAAATGCCACAGGACATGGGACAAATTGTTAAAAATCGGGACGTCTGATCACCTTATAGTAAGAGACAGGACCAAGTTCTTCAAAATGCAGCACTGCAGGTTAGTCCTCCAGCCGTTACCCAAAAATACAGGCAAGGTGGCTGGCTATCCCTGGCCCATGTCCAGAAGCTGCCCAGGGCAAAGAGAAGGGCATAGTGAGCTTCCCAACCAAATAGGTAGTGGAAAGAGGGAACCAGAATAAGCCTCTGCAGGTGAGGTCATGCATCCCTTCATCGTCACGGTACCCCAGTGCCATGATGTTAGACAATCCCATACTGCCCCCCACCCCCGCCCTGAGTTTGAGACCTTTTGACTGTAAACGTGGCCCAGTCGTAACCCCCAGTTCTTAACCTTTTCCTGGCCATCCGATGACATGGCGCAGGTGTACTTGAAGATTGGGACCTCTTGCTAGCGTCCCCATGGTAGTTACCATGAGGCCTCTCAGGCTCTCTCTGTCCCCCCCCCCTTCCCCCTTGGCAGGTGGAGCTGGCCCTGCTGAAGGACTCCTACAAGGCCCTGGCTTCACAGATCAACCTCATCCTGCTCGAGCGCCTGTGGTACGTCATGCTGGAGCAGTTCCTCATGAAGTATGTGTGGAGCGCCTCAGGCCTGCTCATGGTAGCAGTCCCCATAATCACTGCCACCGGCTACTCGGAGTCAGGTGAGAGTCGGCACTCCCAGGGGGTCGGGGCAGGGTCCAATGCTCAGCCGGTCCATCTGCTCCTGAGGCCTGGCTTCCTGGCAACCATTCTCCCTTGTTGCCTTCCCCTGTGAGTCTCCCCTTTACAGCATCTCACACTTCTGGGTACTGCTCGGCCAAGCACGGGGACTGACCCCTCACCAGGTGCCATGCCCTCAGCCAGCTGTGCCTATCCTTAGCCCAAACTGGGAGGATGGGGAAGTACCTTGAGCAAGCCCCTTCCTCCCTGGGCCTTGACTTTCCCAGGCTGCCAACAACTCTGGCAGGTTTCAGACTCTGACCTCTGCCCTAAGGCCTGGGGGGATTGGGAAGACTGTTCTGCCTGTTACTTTAGCAACCGGATTATCAGGATTCTGGTTGTGTTCCTCTCCCAGTTTGCAACACATTCCTTCTATTTGCAGTCTTCTCAGGTTGCCCTTTCAATGGTTAACTTCTGTGCAAACGAAAAACAGTCTAGGTCAGCGATTTTCAACCGGGGTGCCGCGGCACACACCGGTATGCCGCAAGATTTTTTTTAAACATGCAATACCTGACCATTTAGTCAGGGACACTGAACTCATTTCCCTTCGATGGTCCAATTAAAAAAAAAATGACAACAGTCGACACAGCAATAGCCGTCCAGCGGGGATCAAAATTATATCTATGTTTTTTGTCAGATCGGCAAAAAATATAGGATATTTTTGGTGTGCCGCGGGATTTTAGTAATTAATGTGTGCCATGAGATGAGAAAGGTTGAAAAGAGCTGGACTAGGTTAATCCGGTGGCTCCTCCTCTTCCTGGTCCTTAGAACGCTAACATAAGGATTAGCCCCGCTGACGTGTTACAGTCCAGTGTCACAGTTACATTCCTGTGTGGGTTTTTTTAAATTACTTTATTGATTAAGTATCACATATTTGTCCTCATCCCCGCCCCCTCATATGTGGGGTTTTTGTGTGTTTTTTGGTTTTGGTTTTGGATTTTTTAATATATATTTTTATGATTTCGGAGAGGAAGTGAGGAGAGAGAGACAGAAATATCAATGATGAGAGAGAATCATTGATCGGCTGATCCTGCATGCCCCACACGTGGGATGGAGCCTGCAACCCAGGCACGTGCCCTGACCAGGAATCGAACCATGATCTCCTGGTTCATAGGTCAATGTTCAACCACTGAGCCACGTCAGGTCATTCAAATGTTTTTTTACTTGGCTATTGCTGTTGGGCTGATGCATGTCTAAATCCATCACTGTGTTTACCTAATTCTCTGCTCACCAGTCCTTTCCCATAGCCTAGGCATCATCCTCCAGATAGACATCTTTTAAAGGTTCTTTCTGTAAAGCTTTCATGAGGGACACTTCACAATTATTTTGTCTGGAAATGTCTTTATTTTACCCTTTTCCCCAAACTAAAGATTAGCTGGGTATGGGACCCCAGGAGGATAGTTATTTGCTCTCAGCCACTGACAATATTCCATTGTCTCTGCTGGAAAATCTGTTATCAGTTTGTCTCCCCACGAAGCCTGCATTGTCTCTCTGATTGCTTTTAGATTTGCTTTCTCTGCTAGTCTGCTATTTCGCTTGGAAGTGTCACCCTGTGGGTTTGTGTTTATCCTGCCTTCGAATATTCAGATTTTTTAATTGGTCAGGAAAATTCTCAGCTGTTACCTTTTCAAATATTGACCTGTTCCTTCTGAACTCCTGCTGGCCGTCCTCCCTCCTCTGTGGCTCTTCCACTCATCCTGGGAGATTTCTTCAGATCTTCTTCTCACTCACTTGCCAATTTTCTCTTCAGCCAAGTCTCATTTGAACTTTTTTTTTATTTAAAAAAAGTTGCTGTTTCTTTTTTTTTTAATTGATTTCAGAGAGAGGAAGGGAGAGGGAGAGAGAGATAGAAACATCAATGATGAGAATCATTATTGGCTGCCTCCTGCACACCCCACAGGGCATGTGCCCCGACCAGGAATTGAACCTTGACCTCCTGGTTCATAGGTTGATGCTCAACTACTGAGCCACACTGGCTGGGCTCATTTGAATTTTTTGAAAATTTTTAGTGACTACTTCTATCAAGTTCTGTTTGATTCTCTTTCAAATAGAAATTTCAAATTGTTTTAGCAAGTGTCTGATTTTCTCATCTTTTGACTGCTCCTTTTATGCTGTATATCATATTAATGATACACAGTCTCTATCCTGCTATTGAGTTATCTGAATTCTTGAGGGTATAAGCCAGCTTGATCTTTCATCTGTCAATCTTCACTCATGGTAGATTCTTTCCTTGTGAGTTTGTCTGTTTGTTTTTCTTTCCTTTTTTTAAATATTTTTTTATTAATTTCAGAGAGAGGCAGAGAGAGAGAAACATTGATGAATCGGCTGCCTCCTGCAGGCCCCTACTGGGAAATCGAGCCCACAATCGAGGCATGTGCCCTGATCTAACTCAAAACCTTCTGTTAGAAGGTTTAAGCAACTGAGCCACCCCTTTTGCATTTGTTTTTCATCCTCACCCGAGGATATGTTTTTACTGATTTTGAGAGAGAGAGAAACATTGATTGGTTGACTTCCGTACGCACCCCAAGTGGAGATTGAACCCACAACCTAGGTATGTGCCCTGATGAGGAATCAAACCCACAACCTTTTTGGTGTATGGGAGGATGCTCCAACCACCTGGCCAGGGCTCCTTGTGATTTTGGCCACAAGACTTTCCTGGGAACCCTATATGGCCTAACAGGAGGGTACAATTCCCCCAGTGCATATTGGCTTTTGTTTTGGCAAAGCACTCCTGGTAATTAACCACTTGGAGGCCATTTTCATATTCACCTCTCCGTTTGGGGAGGAGGAGTTCCTGAATTTGGCGGTAGTATTCATTGGCACCCCACACACATAATTACCGATTCTTAGAGGTGACCTTTTGTTCTCTGGCTACATGACCTATCTTCTCGGTCTCTGGAGATTTCACTGGTGTACCTGGCTGCTGGCTTCTCTTGGGAATTTGCCTTGCTTTCCTACCAGCATAGCACTGTTTTCTTTTGATTGATTGATCGATTGATTTAGAGAAAGAGGGAGGTGTTGTTCCACCTATTCCTGCATTCATTGGTTGGTTCTTGTATGTGCCCTGACCAGGAATGAAACTGCATCTTGGTGAATGGGGACAACACTCTAACCACCTGAGCTATATAGCACAGCTCTGCTTTCAAAGGCATACTAGTTAATGCAGTTTGGTAGTAAGGGCTTTCAGTTATGTAGAGAAAGAGCCTGACTTGTTTCAGAAATCTCTCTCATTCTCTCCCTATTGGCTGCTCTGCCTTGGGGCCTCCCATAGGTATTCTCAGCTGTCTGTCCCTCTCTGGGTTACCCCAAGAGAAAGGATCTCATTTGAGGGGGGTAGTTACTTTCCACCCATGGGCCTCTGTTAAGAGTGGCCCTGATTTATTTATTTATTATTATTATTATTTTTTTTTTTTTTTTTTTTTTTTTTAGCAATCAAGTGAAGCTTTATTAAAACATTTTCACTGGAAGTTAAAACATATGGGAGCAATGAAATATTGGCTCTTCCATTAGCTATTCAAAATAATTGAGGAGAACATATTTGGATGTAATGGGAAAGTAAGCATTAGGAAGAGTGGAGACATTGAAAATAATAGAAATCAGCAATTCTTGTGTAAAGACATCAGGTGAGATATATGGCCCTGGGCAGGTCGAGTTCCACTGTGCTTCTTAGAAACACTGTTGGAAAGAGGGTGAATGCCAGTAGCCAATGCCACCATCAGTTCTGTTACTGGGCAGTCTCATCCAACCCTGGCTGTAAGAACTCTGAGGGCACGTGACCGGAAGTACCAAGGCAAGCCTGCGGAGCATGTGACCTTGGACGCCATGACACCTTCCCTAGTTCCCTTCCTGCCGCACCAGTTCCCACCTATTTCATTTCCTCTTACCGGCTTCAAGCTGTGAAGGGTCCTGGTGGGCACTTTGTCTTCCAAAAGTGGCCCTGATTTAGGCACAGGTGCCAGAGCCAGTCAGCATGCCTGGTCCAAAACATAGGGAGAAACTCATGAGGAAGCAGACCTATGGTTTCAGGAAACACCTGCAGCCACTTCCCTCTGCGCCTGGCACTGGGCACAGCTCGGCCTGCATAGCACCTGAGGCCTCTCCCTTCCCGGAAGCCCTAGGACTTTTTGGATCCTCTGCTATGTCAGACTTCACAGTGATTCAAGAAGCATGAGCTCCTGTCTCCAGCCTCTTAGCTGTGAAAATGTGCAATTCTCTTGTCTTGCTCATTCTGTCTCACTAGCCATCTTGCTATTGCCCCCAAACACCAGGCAGGCTTCTGCCTCAGGGTTTTTTAAATTTATTTATTATATTTTAATGATTGTTTTTTACAGAGAGGAAGGGAGAGGGATAGAGAGTTAGAAACATCGATGAGAGAGAAACATCAATCAGCTGCCTCCTGCACACCCCCCACTGGGGATGTGCCCTCAACCAAGGTACATGCCCTTGACTGGAATTGAACCTGGGACCCTTCAGTCCGCAGGCCAACGCTCTATGCACTGAGCCAAACCGGTTATGGCATGCCTCAGGGTTTTGCAGATGCTGCTCCCTCTGCCAGGAATGTGCTTTCCTCTGATATCCTGCCCTCCTACCAGCAGACTTTTGCCCACGGGCACCCTCTGGTTGAGGCCTGCCCTGCCTATGACCCTGCCTCTCTCTTCTCCTTCACCACCTCCCTGTTCTCCCAAGCACTGAACACCCTATCTCTGTCACTTCTCTAGTTAATACTTCTTCTGCCCTTTTATTTATTTATTTTAAATACATTATTTATTGACTTTTTACAGACAGGAATGGAGAGGGATAAAGAGTTAGAAACATCGATAAGAGAGGAACATTGATCAGCTGCCTCCTGCACACCTCCTACTGGGTATGTGCCCGCAACCAAGGTACGTGCCCTTGACCGGAATTGAACCTGGGACCCTTCAGTCTGCAGGCCGACGCTCTATCCACTGTCTAACCGAGTTTAGGGCCTTTTATTTATTTTTATTTTTTTATTGTAGGAGGGGTTTTCTTTAATGTATTTTTATTGACTTCAGAGAGGAAGGGAGAGGGAGAGATAGAATGAAACATCAATTATGAGAGAGAATCAGGGATCAGCTGCCTCCTGCAGGCTCCACAATGGGGATCGAGCCCGCAGCCAGGGCATGTGCCCTGACAGGGAATCGAACCGTGACCTCCTGGTTCATAGGTCAGCGCTCAGCAACTGTGCCACACCAGACCCCCTCTGCCCCTATAGACTGGGAGGTCAATGAGGCATGGATTTTTGTCTGTTTTGTCCCTGCTCCAAGGAGGCTCAGAGCACTGGGGGCCAGTGGGAGGATGCAGGCAGCAAGCATTTATCAACTGAGGAATATGTAGATGCCTTTGTCCTACTTGCCTCCTGGCCCTGCAAAGCTGGGTATCCTGTTGTGGGGCCTTGGTCTTAGCTGCCCTAGGGCAGTTTATTATGTCTCCAGGGAGGTGCCAGCTGTGGCCAGGATGCCCAGGCACCTGCAGATCCTTTCACTTTATGCGCAGTCACTGTGTAGCTCTCAGGGCATCCTGGGAGGAGGGCCTGTGTCCCTCTTCCTGCTAGGGGCTGTGTCGCTGGGGACACAGTGGGATGGAGGCCCATAACCTTAGACTGTCCCAGTTCATGACCCACTCCCCTGTCTAGTTCCCTGGATTCTTGGGCCAGGCCCCAGGAGGTGGTGTGAGGCTCTCTAGCCAGCCATTGAGTCCCTTTTCTACCACACCCTGCACCCTCGCTGCTCTGAAGGCCATCTGCCCGGAGACAGCTTCCTGCCCCACCCATCACCAGATCCCTAAGGCTTCTCTCTCTGATCCATCTAAGCCCCTGGATACAACCCTTCCCACAACTTCAGCCTCAGGAGCCCCGGCTTCCCCTGGATAGCCCCAGTGGGTACTGCTCACCCACCCTCACCCAGCACCCTCAGAATCAGCATTCCATTGCTCCTCGCTGCCGACATTTCTAGAACATTCCTTATATAAAAGCCCTGCCCCTTTGGGTTTTTCCAAGGGTCAAGGAAGTCAAGGCCATTGACAAGAGAGGGCTGAAGTGAGCAACCATGGGGCCTAGATGGAGACAGCCAAGCAAGTCAAGACAGGAGCAGGCCTCAGGGAGAAGTCGGAACATGTAGGATGGCCATTCTCATGGAGGCCACAGGGGAGGTGAGGGAGAAATGGGGGCAATAGTGGGTGAAAGGAGATAGTCATGCACAGGAGGCTTGGGGGTGCAACAGCTCTGGGCATTAGGAAACAAGGTGCAGATGTGGCCCCAGAGGGGCTGCTGTGAATAGGAAAGGACACAGGGCAAGGGCAGTCTAGGAAGGAGCTGGGTGTGGCAAGAAAGAAAGCCAAAGCCTAATGGCTCATTTTTTAAGTCTACGTTATTGAGATGTGCCTTTTAATACATTTCAGCCTTTTAAACTATTCAACTCAGTGGGTTTTATTTAGTTAGTTTTTATGGATTTTATTTTATTTTTTTATATATATTTTATTGATTTTTTTACAGAGAGGAAGGGAGAGGGAGAGTTAGAAACATTGATCAGCTGCCTCCTATACCGCCCCCCGCCCCCCGTGGGTATGTGCCTGCAACCAGGGTGCATGCCCTTGACCAGAATTGAACCTGGGACCCCTCAGTTTGCAGGCTGATGCTCTATCCATTGAGCCAAACCAGTCAGGGCAGTTTTTATGGATTTTAAGGAGAGAGAGAAAGAGAGAAATATGTAAGAAAGATATCAATCGGTTGTTTCTCCCACATTCCCACATGCCCGGACCAGGTATCAAAGCCGCAGCCTAGGCATGTGCCCTGACCTGGAATCCAACCCATGACCTTTCAGTGCTCGGGATGACGCTCCAACCAGCTGAGCCACACCCTCCAGGGCAGTGGTTTTGAATATATTCCATAGTTGTGCAACCATCACCAGCATCTAAGAACAGAACATTGTCGTCACCCAAGAAAGAAAACCTGGGCCATTTAGCAGTCCCTCCCCATCCCACCCCCAGCGACTGGCACCCACTAATCTTTGCCTCATTATGGACTTGTCTCTTATGGACACCTCATAGAAAAGGAATCTCACAATATGAACCCTTGTGTGGCTGGCTTCTTTCACCCAGCAGAACATTTACAAGGTTCGTCCACGTTGTAGGATGAATCAGTGTTTCCTTCCTTTTAGCAATACTATTCCATTGTATTCGTGTACCACAATTTCTTTCTTCATTCAGTAATGGGCACTTGTATTGTTTCCACTTGTTGGTTAGTATGAAAACGGTGCTATGATCATCGGTGTGCAAGTTTCTGCAGGGACATATATTTTTGCTTTGCCCGGATGTATACCTGGGAGTGAAATTGCTGCGTCATATGGTAACTCTCTGTTTAACTTTTTGAGGCACTGCCAAACTGGTTTCCACAGCGGCTGTACCATTTTACATCCCCGCCAGCAGTATCTGAGGGGTCCAATTTCTGCACTTCCTTGCCAACACTTGTTATCTCTTTAATTATAATCCTCTTAGTAGGTGTGAAGCGGTATCTCATTGTGGTTTTGATTTGCATTTCCCTGATGACTAATAATGTTGAGCATCTTTTCATGAGTTTATTGGCCATTTGTATGTCTTAGACATACAATAGAAATGTCTAGTAAGGAATGTTGCCCATTGTTTAATTGCATTATTTATCTCTTTGTTGTTGAATTGAACAAATTCTTTATATATTCCGGATACTAGATCCTTCTGAGATTCTGATTTGCAGATATTTTCTCCCAGTCTGTAAGTTGTTTTTTCACTTTCTTGATGATTTTTTTTTTTTTGGTGCCCAAAAGTTTTAAATTTTGGCGAATATTATTTATGTGTTTCTATTTTATTGATTGGACATTTGATATCATATTTAAGGAGCCACATGTAATCTGAGGTCACGAAGACTTACCCCTGCCTTCTCCTAAGAGTTTTGTAGTCTCAGCTCTTACATGCAGATCAGTGCTCCCCTTTTTGTTAGTTTTGGTGTGAGATGGGGGGGGGTGTCATTCTTTTGCTTGTGGAAACCCATTCATCCCACCACCATTTGCTGGATAGACTCGTCTTTCCCCCAGTGGGTCCATTTTAATCTCCCACTGTCTCCGCCTCTCCCCTCTGCTGTGCTCCATAGATTCAGAAGCCGTGAAGAAGGCAGCCATGGAGATGAAGGAGGAAGAGCTGGTGAGCGAACGCACAGAAGCCTTCACCATTGCCAGAAACCTCCTTACAGCTGCTGCGGATGCCATTGAGCGGATCATGTCATCCTACAAGGAGGTACCCCACCCCCGCGAGTCCACCCCTACCATGCCGTCCATCCCACCCCCCAGATGGCAGCGGCTGAGCCAGGGTCCCCCTTCCTTCCTGCAGGTGACGGAGCTGGCCGGCTACACGGCCCGGGTACATGAGATGTTCCAAGTATTTGAAGATGTCCAGCAATGCCGTTTCAAGAGGCCTGGGGAGCCAGAGGATGCACAGGCGGGGACCGGGGCTGTGGTCAGGTCTGGTGTCCGCGTGGAAGGTCCCCTGCAGATCCGAGGTAAGGGCGCCCTCCCTAGAGAGGCCCCGCTGGTCCCTGTCTTCCCAGCATTGGCCAGTTTATCCAAGGTGAATGGTTTCCATGCGGGCCCGGTGGAAGCCCAACTAGACAAAGATCAGAGGCCCCACTGGTCCCTGCCCTCCCAGCACTGATTGAGACAGAACTGATTAGCCATTGAGACAGAACTGACGCTCCCAGAAGGCGGACTCTTTAAGTTGTGTCCCCAAGGAGGGCTTCTTGGGCCAGTTGTGATTCTCACTGCCCATTCCCTTCCAAGTGCCCTGACTGGGATTTCTCTTTGCAAAAGAGAGGACGTGGTCCTGGAGCAGAGGGAGTCCCTTGCCCATACAAGCAGCAGGAGAAAGTTCAAGCCTACAGTAGGGGCCAGGATGCTGTGGAAGAGGGGTGCACTGTCTGAGCCACCACTCAGGTGATGCCAGGAGGGGACAGAGCAGGAGTTCCAGACCCCATAGAAACGGCCTGGCCCCTCCCCACACAGAGCACAGCATCAGACACTGGTGGGGGCACAGGAACCATGCATGTAGGAAGACCCGCTGTACACCCAAGGGGCCTTGTACCACACACTGGCACACTGTTGGGGGTAGGGGGTATGTGGAACTTACCAGAAGGCAAAAGGAGTGCTACTGCACCCTAACTTCCTTTTTTGTGCTCTCTCTCCAGGCCAAGTAGTGGATGTGGAGCAGGGCATTGTTTGTGACAACATCCCCATCATCACCCCCACGGGAGAGGTGGTGGTGGCCAGCCTGAACATCAGGGTAAGTTGAATAGGCTGGGCTGAACCCCATGGGGCCTGGCCTTCTGCCTCTACAAGCCCCAGCCCTTGGCATCCAGCCTGGCTACTTGCCTGTGTTGTCAACAGCTGTTGTCCCGAGATCTACGTGGCAAGCGTGCAAAGGTCAAGGTAGAAGACCAACGTGTCTCGGCCTGTTAGCTGTGGGGCAATGGAGACAGAACTGATAAAAGACACTCGAGATTACTAGGGTTAGCCAAGAGTCACCTGAAGGTTCCTGGCTTTATCGTAGCCAACCCCACCCCCACCCCACCCCTGTTCCACAGAAGCCTAGGACTTAGGGACTCTGGTGTAATTCCAACGGTGGTGGAAGAGATTGCTCTCTACTGACCTGGGCTTGGGGTCCCACCCGTCTGCTTCAAGAAGCCCCCAGTGCAGCTGTGCATGCTGGGTGCAGCCTGGCCCCCCATCCGTGGATAGGAAGCCCTGGTGGCTGACATCCACTAGTCAACTGTGTCCCCAACCCGAACTTTGGTTGCAGAACGATGGAATGAAGGATAAATCTATGGGGGCAGGCACAGAACGTGAGAGGGAGTCATTTGTTTATTCATTCATTTATTCATTCAACCAGTATTTTCTGAGCTCCAGGAGGGGCACTGGAAACCAGAGGTAGATCAGGGAGACACCTGCCCTCTGTGAGGCCCCACTCTGGGGGCCCTAAAATGTTACAAAGATCCCCAGTTAGACAGCTGCCCAGGGTCTAGCAGGGGCTATAGGAAGGGAAAGAGCAGAGGTCAGGTGAAGCTTCATCCAGGAGCTTCCAGGCAGGTGGACAGCATGGTGAAGAAGACCTCTCCAAAAGAACAGGCAGGGGAAATGCAGCGAAGTGGTGGGAGTGAGAGACAGGTTCAGCAGGAGCCATGGTTGGGCAGGGAATATGTGGAAGATTTGAGTGAAAGGTTGGTGCCTGGGGCTCCTTTCTTTGATCTTCTGAGAGGAGCCCTGAGAGCCAGTTGGAGGCTGGGAACATGTTACAACCGCAAGCAGCACAGGACAGTGGTGTGATCTCCCCCTTGCCCACAGCAGTGGTCACTCTTGGCCGGTTTATCCAGGGTGAATGTTTTCCATGCGGGCACGGTGGAAGCCCAACTAGACAAAGATCAGCAGCCCTAGCCCTAACCTGTTTGGCTCAGCGTCGGCCTGTGGACTGAAAGGTCCTGGGTTCGGTTCCGGTCAAGGGCATGTACCTCGGTTGCGGGCACATCCCTAGTAGGGAGTGTGCAAGAAGCAGCTGGTCCATGGTTCTCTCTCATCGATGTTTCTAACTCTCTATCCCTCTCCCTTCCTCCCTGTAAAAATTCAATTTTATATATATAGACCAGCAGCCCTAGTGAGCAGGGACTCAGCTGGGTAGGAAGCAAGGCCAGGCAAGGAGCTGGGCTCTGGGGCTGGTGAGATATTGGGGAAGGGGAGCAGTTCTCAGCCAGATACCGGGGTGAGAAGGACAGCAGGAGAGATTCAGAGAAGGAAATGGAGCCCTCACACATCTAGAAGGAAGGAGGCCCAGGCCCCACCCGAGGGAGTTTATGGTCTAACCAAGGACCACAAAGTGAGGGGCTCAAACAACGGAAGTGGAATCTCTCCCAGGTTTGGAGCCTGGAAGTCCAGACCAAGGCGTGTCCTGAGAGCAGTGAGGAAGAATGTTCCAGGCCATCCCAGCTGACCACCATTGATGTTCCTTGGCTTCGCTTTAATCTCAGCCTCCATCTCCACATGATGTTCTCCCTGTGTTTGTGGCTTTGTGGCCAAATCCCCCCTTTTTATAAATAAGGACACCAGTCACATTGAATTAGGGGTCAGCATACTCCAGGATGACCTCATCAAAATTGAACTAATTACAACTGCAAAAGCTATTTCCAAATAAGGCCACATTCTTAGGTCCTGGGGGTTAGGACTGCAACATATGAATTTGGGGGTGGGGGGGACACAGTTCAACCCCCACACTGACCGAGGTAAGCCAGGGAAGGCCTCACATGAGCCACACTCAGATTGTCCAAGGACTTTGGAAGCCGGTAGGTGGCCCGAGGACAGCAGTCTCCCTGCCCTCTGACCCCAAACACCTACCTCCCCACAGCTCCACTGGCTTTTTTTCACTAGCCAGTGAGCATCATGTGATTGGCCAATTGGGGAGCCTGAGGCCCTTGACACTGAGCCTGGAGGTTACAGTGGCATCTCTGTGGCTCCCTAGAATCTATGGGGGCAGTGAGAGGGCTTCAGGGAGCAGCTAAAGTTTACTGCCCACCTTTAAAAAATTTTTAATATATTTTATTAATTTTTTTACAGAGCGGAAGGAAGAGGGATAGAGAGTTAAAAGCATCGATCAGCTGCCTCTTGCACACCCCCCACTGGGGATGTGCCCGCAACCAAGGCACATGCCCTTGACAGGAATCGAACCCGGGGACCCTTGAGTCTGCATGCCGATGTTCTATCCACTGAGCCAAACCGGATTCGGCTTACTGTCCACCTTTTAGAACTCTAAAGAAAGCACCTTTCCTGCCCTGGCGGATGTGGCACACCCTGGCCAGTGTGCACAATGGTTAGAGCATCTGCCCCAGTCATAGAAGAGTCACAGCTTCAATTTCTAGTCAAGGGCACATACCTGAGTTGATCCCAGGCCCCAGTCTTTGTGCATTTGGGAGGCAACCAATCAGTGTGTCTCTTTGGCACCAATGTTTCTCTTCTTTTTCTTTCTCTCTCCCTCTCTCCCTACATACTACTCCCCCTCCCTCCCACTCTATAAATTTTTTTTTTTTCAGAGAGGAAGGGAGAGGGAGAAAGAGATAGAAACATCAATGATAGAGAATCATTGAACCATTGATCTTGCACACCCGCCACTGGGGATCCAGCCCCTAACTCGGGCATGTGCCCTGACCAGGAATCCAACCATGACCTCCTGGCTCATAGGTCAACCCTCAACCATTCAGCCACACTGGTTGGGCCCCCAGGCAGTTCTTAAAGAGAAAATTCTGAAGTGGAATGGGGATGCTATTGACTTTCTGGGGCTTGAACCCATCCATATGGCTGTGGCAGAATAGGCCCTCCTGCCGTTGGCCCCATATTTTGTGGTGTGTGTTAGGGCCTTAAAGGGACAGGCTGGGGCCCAAAACAGGCATTTGATTAGGACTCTGGATGCTTGATCAGGAGGGCCTACCCAGTGTGCACCTGGGTACAAGTAGTTGTCAAGGGCTGTCAGAAAGGCCAAAGGTGAGAGGAGAGAGGGCTACACCTCCTCTCGGTACTAGGAGTGAGCCATCCACACTGGCACTGCCTCCACAGGTAGAAGATGGCATGCACCTGCTCATCACGGGCCCCAATGGCTGTGGCAAGAGCTCTCTGTTCCGGATCCTTGGTGGGCTCTGGCCCACCTATGGAGGCGTGCTCTACAAGCCCCCGCCCCAGCGCATGTTCTACATCCCCCAGAGGTGAGTGGCGCAGGGAGAGGGAGGGAGCCAGGGCCCCCGGCTGTGCCCCTTGCCCCTTCCCCACCTGCGGAACTGACACCATGGAGATGGTAGAGCTTGGGGCCTCCGAAGAGGACAGCAAGATGCTGTCCCAGAATCAGAGGGACTATGGAGCCTTCGCTTGCCCCCTACCACGCCCCCTCACCTGGTGACTTTACAGCTGCGGGGTGTGCATGCATGAGGGTGCACACTGCAGGGGGAGCGTGTCTATGTGCATGTGAACATGTGCATGTATGTGCTGTGCCAGTGCATGCACACACGTCTCTGCGTGCAGGGCGAGTGTGTGGTGGGCACATGTGAGTGTGTGGGCCTGGTGTGCATGGGCAGGTATGAGCACTGCCTAGAGCACTTGTTGCGGGATCTGTGGGCTTCAAGTTCTCCCGACCTCTGACAACCGGGGCTCATGGAGGAGCCCAAACAGATAGGGCGCAGGCAGGGCTGCCGGCTCCCCATGGACATGCAGCTTTCCCACAGGCCCTACATGTCCGTCGGCTCCTTGCGTGACCAGGTGATCTACCCGGACTCAGTGGAGGACATGCGAAGGAAGGGCTATTCAGAGCGGCACCTGGAAGCCATTCTGGACATCGTGCACCTGAACCACATCCTGCAGCGGGAAGGAGGTAGGGGGTGGGACATGCTCCTCTCAGCACCTAGGGGTGAGCCATCCACCCAGCCCCTGCCTCCCTAATCCACGATGCCAACGTGCTAGGTGCCCCAAGAGCCCCCCTAACAGGGAGGACTGACAGGAAGCGGGTGGCTCAGGCCGAGGGGGCGGGCATCCAGGTGGTGCTTGCCATCTGGTGAGATGCTCACAAGCTGGGAGCTGAGGGGATAGGAAGGGCGGAGAGCCCTCACAGGGAAAGAAGCCCTTGGAAGCTTGAGGCAGGGAAGTTCCAGGTCAGTGTCGCATTTCAGTAAGAGGACTGACCTCTGGTGTGGGGCCGTGGGCAGGGCAGCCAGGGAGGAGCCCGCACTGGTGTCTGCGCAGAGGGCCTGGAGGGTGGGAGGCAGGAGCAGAGGTGGAGGGGATATCCGGTTTTTGCCTCGATCCTGGGAGGTGCCATCCCCTGAGAAGGAGAGGAGGGAGGGACAGCCTGGTGGCCAGAGAAGGCCTTGGTCTGGGGCTTACCCGGTTTGTCTGCGAATGCCTGTGGGGCCTATAGGTGAGAAGGAGAGGGCGGGACCCAGCGTGGGGCTGAGCTGACTTTCCTAGTGAAACCTGAGCCGCAGGGTTCCACTTCCTGCCTCTGCCTCTTAGGGGCAGCTTGACCTTGAGCAAAGACCTCACCTGAGCCTCTCTCCCTAAGCACCAGCGTTAAATGGTCACAACACTTGCACAGGAGGAGGGCCGCAGGTGGTGGAGTCCCGGATGCCAGTCGTGCTGAAGCTTCTTCATCCCCAGCTTCCTCTTGGCCTGGCTCGACCTCTTTTTTGTTTTGTTTTTAAATATATTTTTATTGATTTTTTTTACAGAGAGGAAGGGAGATGGATAGAGAGTCAGAAACATCGATGAGAGAGAACCATTGACCAACTGCCTCCTACACACCCCCCACTGGGATGTGCCCACAACCAATGCACATGCCCTTGACCGGAATCGAACCTGGGACCCCTTAGTCCCCAGACCAACGCTCTTTCCACTGAGCCAAACCGGTTTCGGCTCAACCTCTTATTGGTCCAGCCACCCTCCCCTTAGAAGTGTGCCCTTCCTGTCCGCCAGGCACCCCTCTGTGCTGGGGTCCTTGAGGCCAATCATCATACCCTATTAGCATTGAGTTCAGCTCTCAATAACAGAAACACACACACACACACACACACACACACACACGCACACACACACACACATGCACACATGCACATGCACATGCACACACATGCACAGTGGCTCAAGTCGCTCACAAGTTTATCTTCCTGTGACACAAAAGTCCCAAGGAAAGCAGGACATAGTTAGCGGGAGCAGCCCTGCTCTGTGTGGACCTTTGTTTTTAAAGTCACCAAGTCACCTCATGGCCAAAGATGGCTATTCCTGCTGTCACATCATATCCCAGGCCATAGGATGGAGGAAGTAGGGGGAAATGGTATATGCCATCTCTCTCTCTCTCTCTCTCTCTCTCTCTCTCTCTCTCTCTTTAATATGTTTTTATTGATTTTTAGATAAAGAGGGAGAGACAGACTGGGGATTAAGTCAGCAACCTGGGCAGGTGCCCTGACCTGGAATCAAACCGGTGACCTTTTTTTCTTAAATATAATTTTATTGATTTTTTTTTTTTTACAGAGAGGAAGAGAGAGGGATAGAGAGTTAGAAACATTGATGAGAGAGAATCACCGATCAGCTGCCTCTTGCACCCCCCCCCCCCTAGGGATGTGCCTGCAACTAAGGTACATGCCCTTGACTGGAATCAAACCCGGGACCTTTCAGTCCAAAGGCTGACGCTCTATCCACTGAGTCAAACCGGTTTTGGCCAAACCGATGACCTTTTGATGCACGGGACATGGCCCAACCAACTAAGCCACATCAGCCAGGACAGTGCCATCTGTCTTTCTTTCTTTTTCTTCTTCTTTTTTTTTTTTTTTTTTTTTAATGTATTTGTATTGGTTTTAGAGAGGAAGGGAGAGGGAGAAAGAGATAGAAACATCAATGATGAGAGAGAATCATTGATCGGCTGCCTCCTGCACACCCTCCACACTGGGGATCAAGCCCGAAACCCAGGCATGTGCCCTGTCTGGGAATCGAATCTGGGACTCTTCAGTCCACAGGCTGACACTCTATCCACTGAACCAAGCCAGCTAAGGCGTGCCATCTGTCTTTTAAAGGAAGCTCCAAAAGCTAGAAGCTGCCACATGTGTAACACTTAAACCCCATTGGCCAGGATGTAGTCACATATTCATATACCTCAAGGCAAGCTAGGGAGTATAGTCTTTTTATTTTTAACATATTTTTTAAAATATATTTTATTAATTTTGTACAGAGAGGAAGGGAGAGAGATAGAGAGTTAGAAACATCGATGAAAGAGAGTCATCGACCAGCTGCCTCTTGCACACCCCCTACTGGGGATGTGCCCGCAACCAAGGTACATGCCCTTGACCGGAATCGAACCCGGGACCCTTCAGTCCCCAAGCCGACACTCTATCCATTGAGCCAAATCGGTCTCTGCAGGAGTATAGTCTTTTTGAGGGTACCATGTACTCTACCAAAACTTCTAGTTCTGGGGGGAGACAGAGTGGCAGGAGGTAAGGAGCCATTTCTGGTGAATCATACCCACACCTGCTCATTCAGGCAGCTGCCTGAGCCTTACCAAGGGACTGGCTCAAGGCAGCAATACAAAGGCCTGGTGCCTAGTGGTGAGAAGCCTTCTGGAGAGACCACGCGGCCTTCCTGGGGCTGGCTCTTCACTGGCACCCTGTCAGGTCCTGGATGAGTTTGCTGGGGCTACCGGAACAAAGCACCCCAGAATGATCAGCTGAAACAGCAGAAATATATTAGCCCCAGCTCTGGAGGCTGAAGTCCAAGATCAATGTGTCATCAGGATTGGCTCCTTCTGAGGGCTATCAGGGAACATCTGTCCCAGGCCTCTGTCCTTGGCTTGTAGACAACCATCTTCGCCCTCTGTCTCCTCATGTCTTTTTTTTTTTTTTTTTTTTTTTTTTTTTTTACAGAGAGGAAGGTAGAGGGATAGAGAGCCAGAAACATCAGTGAGAGAGAGCCATCGATCAGCTGCCTCCTGCACACCCCCCACCGGGGACGTGCCCGCAACTAAGGCACATGCTCATGACCGGAATCGAACCCTGGACCCCCCAGTCTGAAGGCCGACGCTCTATCCACTGAGCCAAACCGGCCTCGGCCTCACATCATCTTTTCTCTATTATATCTTTGTGTCCAAATTTCCCCTTTTTAAAAGGACACTTATTGTATTGGATCAGGACCCACCCTAGGGACATCACTTGAACTTGATTACCTCTGTAAAGACCTTTTCTCCAAATATGTCACCTTCTAAGTCATGAGGGTTAGGATTTCTTTTGGAGGGGATACAATTCTGGTCTCAGCTTCTTTTTGACTACTAAAGTATCACCTACAGCCCAGGCGGTGTGGCTCAGAAGTAGAGTATTAACCTATGAACCAGGAGGTCACAGTTCGATTCCCGGTCAGGGCACATGCCTGGGTTGCGGGCTTGATCCCCAGTGTGGGGCATGCGTGAGGCAGCAGATCAATGATTTTCTCTCATCATTGATGTTTTAGTCTCTCTCTCCCTTTTCCATCTTGGAAATCAATAAATGAATATATATATATATATATATATATATATATATATATATATATATATATATTTTTCCACCCCCCGAAACCGGTTTGACTCAGTGGATAGAGCATTGGCCTGTGGACTGAGAGGTTCCGGGTTCGATTCTGGTCAAGGGCATGTACATTGGTTGGGGGTGTGCAGGAGGCAGCTGGTCGATGTTCCTCTCTCATCTATGTTTCTGGCTCTCTATCCCTCTCCCTTCCTCACTGTAAAAAATCAATAAAATATATATATATATATTATTATTATTTTTTTAAAGTATCACCTATAGACAAACACCCAGAGCACAAAGAGTCAGCTGTTGACTTTCTCAGGAGTCATCTTCCACTGTCTCGTGTTCCCCAGCCCCCTCTCACCATGCCCACCACGCCCAGTGGGCCTGGGCCCTTGTTGGATTGAACAGAGACCCCCTTGTCCCCTGCCTAGGTTGGGAGGCCGTGTGTGACTGGAAGGACGTTCTGTCGGGGGGCGAGAAGCAGAGGATCGGCATGGCCCGCATGTTCTACCATAAGTGAGTGGGCTGTCCAGGGTGCTAGGCTCCCTCGGGCACTGGCTGCGGCTCAGCATGCATGCTCCCTGGGGCCTCCATTAGGAGGCCCCAGCAGGAATTGGGCCCCAAGGGGTGGGGGGTGGGGACCAGACCAAGTCAACAGCAATGGAGAGACCACAGCCTCGCCCGCTCTGCCCCCACTCTCAAGGCCAAAGTATGCCCTCCTGGATGAATGCACCAGCGCTGTAAGCATCGACGTGGAAGGCAAGATCTTCCAAGCGGCCAAGGATGCTGGCATCGCTCTGCTTTCCATCACCCACCGCCCCTCCCTGTGGTAGGTGCCCTCCCTTCCTCCCTGGAGTCGGGGGGAGGGAGCATCTCTGGCTCTCTATCCCTATCCATCTCTGCATCTCTGCCCCTGTCCCTCTCCCCGCCCAGGAAGTACCACACGCACTTGCTGCAGTTCGATGGCGAGGGCGGCTGGAAGTTCGAGAAGCTGGACTCAGCCACCCGGCTGAGCTTGACGGAGGAGAAGCAGCGGCTTGAGCAGCAGCTGGCGGGCATCCCCAAGATGCAGCAGCGTCTTCAGGAGCTCTGCCAGATCCTGGGCCAGGGCCAGGGCTCCAGGGTCGTCCAGGGTGCTGCCACCTGACAGAGGACCGTGCCCCTCCCTGAGCCCTCGGATCATATGAAGGAAACAGCAGTGCCTGCCTACCCACCTCCCCACCCCCCCCACACACACACACCCTGCCCACCGCAGGCCCACGCTGCATGACTCTCCCTCTTCCCAGGCCTCCCTGCCACTGGCCTGGCTTGCCAGCGAAAGGGCAGGCCTGACCCTCATGCCCCTGCCCTCGGGCAAGGAGGCATGAAAGGTCCTACACTGCTGCCCTCCCCAACCGTGCCCCCCATGAATGTGACCAGGGCAGGGTAGCCGAGTCCTCTCTTTTCTTTGGGGAGGAGGAGAGGGGCAGGAGGTACCCCAGCCCACACCCCCAGGACAGTCCACACTGAGCCTTGGCATCTGTGGGGACTGCCCTCCAGAGACCGAGGTCCCCTTGTGTCCTCCTTTTCAGTCCCTCGGAGACCCCACGGTCCATCCTTCTATTGCCACTGCCCAAGTGATTGCCACGGCTCCACTGGACACCCTTCCTGCCATAGAAATGGCCAAATGGGACCCAGGGCCAGACCGGGGTCTCTGCTCCTTCTCCCCACCACTTGTCCCGAAGAACTCTCGGGAGAAAGAATTGCACAACATTTCTCAGCAAGCGATTCTAAGAATGTAGCCCCCGTCCCTCTCGGTCCCTACAAGCTAATTTATTGGATTCCTGTTCGTAGCCTTCTCGATTGCCAATGTGAGCGCCCTGCTAGCAGGGGAGGCAGCCCAGCCTCTGAACCAGCCCCAGCCAGCCTGTCGCCCCACCAGCCTACACTGCCAGCTGCCACCAGGGGGGCCCAGGCCAGCCAGAGGGGGAGATGGACACTGTGCTAATGTGAGTGCGGGCACCAGTGTTCCCAGCTCAGTGCCAAAGAGGGGTCAGACGGAGAAGCTGTCTCCACAAAGCTAGCTCCTGCCCGAGAGGGAGACCCCACCGCTGCTGTGTGCCTTTCGGGGGTGAAGGGGGGCTCAGCCCTCGGGCCAGGAAGCCTCCCTCAGTCCCTCAGTAAAAACCGCCCATGGAAATGATGTTCTTGCCTCCGGTTCTCTTTGTCTGGCCTGGCGTGGGGGAGACACAGGGCTGGGCAGCAGGTGCCTGGAGGAAAGGAATAACCTCAGCTCCCACGCCACCCGAAGACAGCTCAGCACATTCTGTGGCTGACATGCTGGGGGGAGGCAGATCTATCAACAACATCTCAAACATCTTGGCGGAGCCCAAATAGGACTCTGGACCCAGTGCTGGGGTGAGGAGAAGAGGAGTGATGCAAGGTCCCAGTATGAGGACTTCCAGAGAGATATGGGAGAAATAGTTGCAAAGTGGGCTGGTTGGAGGAACGCTGAGAGGAGGGGTCCTGGCAAGGAGCAGCAGGGAAGACGTGCTTCTAGACCCTCTAGTAAGAGGGAACATCTGTGCAAGGGCCAGGAGTGGATCAGGAGCAAGATTCGGGGTATTGATGCTGAGTGCAGGGGAAGGGAGGGGCCAGACCATCCCAAGGAGCCAGAACTTATTCCAGAGGCAACAAGAAGCCACTGCAAAGTTGTCAGCAGGATGCAAAACCCATGGAGTTATGCTTAAAGCTGGCTGTGTGGAGGGTTGTTTGGAAAGAGGTACACCATATAAAAAGAATTCTATAAAAAGTTCTACCCAGCCAGCATGGGTCAATGGTTGAGCGTCTACTTATGAACCAGGAAGTCGTGGTTCCATTCCCAGTCAGGGCACATACCTAGGTTGCGGGCTCAATCCAGCGTACAGGAGGCAACAGCTGATCAATGATTCTCTCTCATCATTGATGTTTCTATCCTTCGCTCATCCTCTCTGAAATCAATAAAATATATATTAGAGGCCCAGTACATGAAATTTGTGCACTGGGGAGGGGGTCCCTCAGCCTGGCCTGTGCTCTCTCGCAGTCTGGGACCCCTCGGGGTTGGGCCTAAGCCAACAGTAGGACTTCCCTCTCGAAATCTGGGATCCCTCACTCCTTACCACCTGCCTGCTTGCTCCTTACTGCTTGGCTCACTGCTCCTTAGCAGCAGGCTCCTTACTGCTCAGCTTGCCAGCCATGAGCCTGGCTTCTGAATGGCGCTCCTCCTGTGGGAGGCACGGACCACCAGGGAGCAGCTCCTGCATTGAGCATCTGCCCCCTGGTGGACAGTGTGCGTCATAGCGACCCGTCGTTCTGGTCATTCGGCCATAATGGTTGCTTAGGTGTTTCTTATATAGATGTGTGTGTGTGTGTGTGTGTGTGTGTGTGTGTGTGTGTGTGTGTTTAAGAATAAAGTTCTGATCCATGCTACAACATGGGTGAACTGCAAAAATATGATGCTGATTGAGTGGAAGGAGCCAGTTACAAAAGACACTGACCATAGGAGTCCATTCATATGAAATATCCAGATTAGGAAAACCCACAGAGACAGAAAGGGGATCGGTGGCTGGCAGGGTCCTGAGAGGAGAGGAATGGAGAATGACTGTTAATAGGTACAAGGTTTCCTTTTGGGGTGATGAAAATATTCTGGAACAACAGAGGTGATGGTTACACAATACTGTGAATGCACTAAATGCCACTGAATTGTGCACTTTGGAAGGAACAATTTTGTGTTATGTGAATGTCACCTCAAAAAATAGATGATAGATTGATTGATGATAGAGGATAGATTGATACATGATAGACAGAGAGAGAGGGGCATAGATGAACGAACACACCACCTAAAGCAACATAGACAAGACGTGCTGAGGCCTGAAATCCTGGACAGATTAGAGAGACATTAGAAGAAAATCAACAGGCATGGGGGAGGGGGCAGGTCAGGCACTGGGGATAGGGAAGGGGAAAGTCAAGAGGATCCCTTGGTTCTGGCTTGGGTGGTCTGATGGGTGACAGCACCCTTCACTGAGGGGTCAGGTTGGAGAGTAGCTGTCAACCAGTTAGCACTTGCTGGGCCTGTGCCTGTAGCCCCCTGGGAAATGATGAGTAGGCAGTGGACAGGGGAGTTTTCAGCTTGGATGAACTCTAGCCTTGAGATCCTCCGAGGCATCCAGGCATGTTGGTTGAAGATCTGCATAGACAGCCTGGGGAAAGGGGGCTTGGTCTCATAGGGGTTGGGGAATGTGAGACAGACTGCATTTTATCCAAGTTTTGAGGTTAGGATTCATTCCTGATTCCCGGGAAGTAGTAAATGAAAAGGTGGAGAGTTTTTGCCCAGCTCAGTGGTTGAGCATCAACTTACGACTCAGGAGGTCACAGTTTGATTCCCAGTCAGGCACATGCCCGAGTTGTGGGCTCAGTCCCCAGTGTGGGGTGTGCAGGAGGCAGCCGATCAATGATTCTCTCTCATCATTGATGTATCTCTCCCTTTCCCTCTCCCTCTCTGAAATCAATTTTTTCTAAAATTTTAAAGAAGGTGAGGAGTTGTTGAGTTGTTCCTCCTTCTCTTCCCAAGATTGTGTAAGTCATCCCTATCTGAACATAAATCCTTAAAAAAAAAATTAAATAGCTAGAATGGTTCTGTGGTCTGCCACCAAATCCTAATTGATTTGGATGAAAAGAGACAATCCAGGAAATACCATCCTAACGGAAGTTAGTGAAGAGAAATTAATATCAGACAAAGTAGACCTCAGGGCACAAATATTATTAGGGATTAAAAGAGGTTGCTGCATAATGATGAAATAAATAATTCATTTGCAGCATTAAACATTGTGAATATGTGCATACCTGCCTAATGACAGAGCCTTGAACAAAAAAGGAAAAGGAAATTTATAAATCATCACATTCACCACAATAAATTATACCACCTCTCACTACAATTGGCAGCTCAAACAGACAAAACTAGTATGAATATGCTGGGAGGGAATGAACAAACTTGATGAATGGGTTTCCCAAACCTAGAGACTATACATTCTTATCAGTTCACTTTGAACATTTACTATAACTCACCATGTCCTGAGCCACAAAACAAATCTCAATAAATACTGAAAGAATTGGTATGGCTGAAACCAGTTTGACTCAGTGGATAGAGCGTCAGCCTGCAGACTGAAGGGTCCCAGGTTCAATTCCGGTCAAGGGCATGTAAGTTGGTTGCGGGCACATCCCCAATGGGGGGTGTGCAGGAGGCAGCTGATCAATGCTTCTATCTCTCTCCCTTCCTCTATGTAAATATATATATATATATATATATATATATATATATATATATATATATATTTTTAATAATGAAAAGAAAAGAAACACATGAGGAAATCTCTAGGCTCTTGGGTAGGGGAGGATTTCTGAAACAAGATAAAAAGGACAAACCATAAAATAGAAGATCAATAAATGTAATTATATTCAAATCAATACTTCTTCATCTAATGATGCTATAGGCAAACTGAGAAGACAAGTCCTGGGCACGGAGAAGACATAACAGACCAAGGACTGGTGTCTAAAATATGTGAAGACTCTCTCAAAATACTAAGGAAAAGACAATTCATATAAAAAAAATTGACAAAGACGTGATCAGGCATTTTGCAGAAGAGGAAACACAAAGAAGCTCAATATTATTAGTACTCAGGGAATGTCAATTAAAAGCCCAGCAAGCCCTGGTCAGGGGGCTTGCTCAGTGGTTAGAGCATTGGCCCATGCACCAAAGGGTTGCGGGTTCAATTCTCAGTCAAGGGCACAATACCAGGTTCATTCCCCACCAGGTACATGTGAAAGGCAACCAGTCAATGAATATTACATCAATGTTTCTCTCTTTCTCTCTCTCTCTCTCTCTCTCTCTCTCCTTCCCTCCCTCCCTCCCTCTCTCTGAAAAGCAATAGACAAAATATCCTCAGGTGAGGATTACTAACAAAAAAAAAAATAATAAGCAGTAAGGCATAACCACTTCACATGCCTCATATTGACACTAAGTACTAAGTACTAGGTAAAAGCACTAAGTACAGGGTTGGTAAAGTGTGAAGAAAAAGAAATACACCAAATAAGTCCAAGTTCTCCCTAATTTGCTGACCTCTGCACCCTCAA